CTATTGGCAGGTACGAAGATCTCTGGGATGAATGGAAATATCTTGGGTAGTACCATTAGTAAATAATGCCACGTTATGGGATCCTTTACCAATGTATCTTGATACCGAATTATTTGAATCATACACGACGGCTCTTGCATTACAAGGTCTCCAAGGAAGTCCGTTCGTAAACGTTCCTGGACATACATTGCCAAAGATGGTAGTCCATGTGCATGCTACCAAAAGCAGTAATGCAGCCAGAGCAAGCGCTCAAGCGCAGTTGATCAGTCGCAGTTTCGAAATTTGGCGAGTGCCGCATGGGGTGATGTCGACAACCTTGCCATCGAGACTGGTTGAACTCGGGGGGTCTCGCTATCGAGGTCAGTTCACGCTCTGAATACGTGTTGTGCTGACTGCGTTGGTGTTGATTTGACTAATTAGGATACTATCCATGTCCTCTGATGGCATCTTATCTGTGCTGAAGGTACCGGTGCAAGCGAGCACCTAATGGCGCGCTTCGACGAGCCACGACAATCACGAAGACGGGGCTATGATTTGGACGACTCTCGCACCACGAAGGATCCCCAATCGTTACAAAATGGGCTACATCCTTCCCCACATCCTCCTCCTCTCTCCACGCCGCTCTCCACGCCTTCCATCTCTAGCCGCCATCGATATCCCCGCACCTACTGATGGGTGAATGCGTGCAGGAGAAGCAGACGCGGGTGAGAACGACGAACGGGGAGGAGTACGCGTGTCAGTTAGTAAATGAACAATACCGCAAAGACGATGACGACTAGCCTTATCGCAATATATTACCTCGCGAGCACGATTGCATACGCCGAAGCTAACGTTTACGTAGATGCGAACACGGCGCCGCTGGGTTCTGGAACGAAGGAAAGGAAATCAGCAAGGGGAGTAGATCGCAAACGAAATGAAACGCCTATGTAACCGTGGATGCGAACGAGAACGACGACGATAACTCGACGACGACGACGATAACTCGACGACGACGACGATAACTCGACGACGACGACGATAACTCGACGACGACGACGATAACTCGACGACGACGACGACGAGGTGGAGGAGGAGGAGGAGAGGTGGTGAGGAGATGGATAACACGATCCGAAACCACGAAACCACGAAACCACGAAACCACGAAACCACGAAACCAACGAAACCACAAGACCTCGATGGAGAGACTAGAAGCAAACGACGATATAACGGGTGGACAGGTGAACGACAAATGATTGAGGACGAATGGTAAACGGTACGAGGACCGACGAACCAGCGCGGATAGAAAGAAACCAACGAGAAGAAACTCGACGCCCAACGAAGGGAATACGCACCGATGAACGAGAACGCGCATCATCGCGATCACCACCACATCACCACCGTCGTCGTGTTCGTGTTCCTTTCGATACACCCCCAGTCGAGTTGCACGAACGTTAACGTTGAGCGTTGTGGCGATTGGCGAGTCGAACACGGCGACTGGAATGCGAGTGCGAGACCATGAAGACGACGAGGATTACGGATACGCGGATAGAGTGTAGGGAGAGAAGAGAGAGGAAGAGGAACATAAAGAGAGAGGGACGTACGGATAGTGAAGTGCGCATAATCAGGACGTTGACGCCGTAAGCAGTCCCGCCAACTTTGGCGCGAGAGTTCGACGCCGTAAGCAGTCCCGCCAGCTTTGGCGCGCGAGTTCGACGCCGTCATCGTGCCCACCTCTCACCACCATCATCATCAGTACAAAGTAAGTGGTGCACCACTCTCAACCTCATTTTCTAACACATTTCAACCCAGCATCTCAAAAAAAACAAACATGCGAGCTTGGTATTCGCCTAACACTCCACGCCCTGTCGCCTGGCTGGCCTTTGTAGAGGTCCTGGTACGCAATTTCGGCGTCCTTCGCCCTATGGACAACGTTGTCATCGTGTAAGTGTTCTGTATTCTTTTCTACTACGCTAACGCACACCAATTTGTAGCGACGCTTCCGTGACGCCTGCAGGCGCATTATCGTCATCTATCCACGTTTTTCGCGGCCAAAACGGCGGCGATTGGATTCTAACCATCACGATCGACGACGACGACGACAATCTGGTATCCCGACGCGGGTTTGGGCACCAGGTAGTGCCGTTCAACCCGCAGGATTACATGGAAATTGATCCTTTCCATGTATTGATCGCGTACACCATTTGTCTTTTTTTCTTGTAGCACTTGGCTTGCAGCTATAAATTCATCATACAACCTATGTACATTATTGTGAATACATTCTAGTATATTTTCAACGTAAGATCTCCTATGATACTTAGAATACTGCCTTCGTCGATATGCGGGAGATATCGTAGTTTACATCCTAAATACACGCTATCAGGGATACGTTAACTATATCGGGAATGATATTTAGAATATCATCAGGTTATCTCCGACAGATAAAGGGCTCATGATAATCTGAATACTAACTGTGGTGATTTTTAGAATAACATCTTCAAGATCATCATGTTATTTTTGTAGGTGGAAGGCTGGTATTAATCTCATTTATTCCCCCATAATACCAGTGCCAATACTTGAGAAATATTTAAATTACAACTTGGATTGATATGATAATATATATTTTGAACAATAAACTGAATTACTCTACAGTATCTACGGTGGGAATAAGCAGAAGTGTGTTGTTTTACCCTCACAGTACCATCTCCGTATCACTCGTGCTTTTATGGGCATTTGCCCGCAGTGGTAGACATCAGCAGGGAGATAGAAGACGATACAGATGGAAAGCCTGCCCTGCACGGAGGCTCGAACGATCGACTCCCTGCCACAGTTTGATATCTCATTCATGCGTGGCTTTCATCTTCGACTTCTTTTCGTTCAGGACACCCCATTCAATACTATTTACTTCTTACTTACTTGATGTCGCTGTAGATACCTAATTTCTTGTACTTGCTGAATATCAAACAAAGAATGTAACATGCTCCATCGCAAAGGAATTCCACGAGCGGGCGGGGGACGATCACTGACTCGCAAGGCGTTTGGGGTCTGGGGCATAGGACAAAGATGACTCTTACCAACTTCCCCCGCGATACTCGCTGTAAGGCTCCGCTCTCTGATTCATGCAATCCGTCGTTGCTGAAACTGGAGCTGCTTCATATCATTTCGAATCCGCTGTGGCTTGACCATCTATCACCTATGAGGTATTAAATGAATGGATCGTATACTAGAGAACTTACGGCCGTTTCTAGAGATATATCAAGGAGTGGGGTATCATTTGATCCCTTCCTTCAATGTCCATAGGGAGATCGCCGTGCTCTAGCTCTAGTCGAGGGCTATGGCTATCATCAAGCCAGACATCGCGACGCAGACGGGGAACGATGATGATGGGAAGGAGGGCTCCCTGGTACGTCTAGCGTTGGGAAAATATGTACGGGATTAAGCGTGCATGTGTTCCGCACGAATATACGGCTTCGTTTCGATGTCCAGTGTTGACGATGGACGTCGTATAACTCGATAGAGTCCGCCATGGGCCTGAGCGGAAGTGGGTATGGGCGAAGGGGGGTCGCATACGGGGCTTGATTTATTTACTTCGACCGTGTGCCACAATTCGCTAGCGTGATCAGCGGGGACTCAGAGAAACAGACCCATATGTGTGATCATCAATAGTACCATGGGTACTCCATTTTGTCTCCTGAATCTGATAATGATGCCGTCACGTCAGAATTCAACCAGAGCGCGCGGTGGAAGTTCTTGTGATTGTGATTGGAACATATACAGGCCCGATGTGCTGTTGAAGTAATGGCAGACGTACATGTCAAAATGGTGGCTCTAACACAGGATATGTCAGTCAAATGACGCCCATTATGAATGCGACGTCCAAGGCAGCACCAAACCACCGTAGGTCTACATGTAACAGGCGTCAGGACAACATGATACAGCACGTCTTACCCTGGGAACACTGCACCTTCAATGAATATACATCAGGAATGGTTCCTATCTGAACGCGAGATGGCCGGAGGATTTGATAATCGACCTTACCTTGCGCAATGAAGAGTTGGTCGGAAGAGCAAGCTGAGGTTGCCCGGTGTGGCATGGGGGAAGGCATCAGATAACGAAGTACTCGCTCAGCTGATTATCCGACAGCAGCGGTGATGAGTTGTTGGATCAATCATCAACACGTCTCCAGGTACGCTAACTTGGAAGTCGCATCGCGTCGACGAACTGCTAGTACTCTGTGGTCCAGCTCCGAGTCGCTCTCGTTGTAGAGCACCGAGAGTCGTCAGGCTGAAAGACAGGTTTGTACGGCAAGGTACTCTCGTAAGCCAGAAGCCTCAAGGCCTCAAGTCGGAAGGAATGTAGACGAAGAAGTTGCGAAGAAGGAAAGAAGGATCAGAGTTTGGGCGCTTAGATTCAACTCTCATGACAGGACAACTGTGAGACAAAAAATTCGCCGTCGCCATTGGCCATAACTGACGAGAAAGTAAGTACTTCGCAGGAGATAGCATCAAACCGGTAAACTGCCAATGTGGCTGAAAGTTCTTCATCAGCGCCGAAAATTAAAGATGCCTTCCTACGTTTTCACGAGGGATAAATTGGGTAAATTGGGTACTCTCCACGAATGCTCTTATACTAGCCATGCGCATGGTTGTGGGACGGCCTGAGGCTTCCCCCCATTTACTATGTCCGAGCAGGTATCGTTCAATCAAGTGTTCCTGCTCGCTGTCTGGCTAGAGGTCCGTGCACAGAATTACAGTCATTGCCGTGGTCTGATTGGTTCCATGTAGTCTCTTGCATATGGTCAGACCTCCAAATGAACGTCTGACCGTTGGATCACCAGCGATTAGACGTCTTAAGCTTCACATCCTAGCACCTAACTCGTAAAAACAGGGTTCTTTCTCTGTCTCTTCTGCGGAACACTATTGTTCACCTTTGGGAGCGGGCACCGCAGCGACATCCATGGCAAGGTGTGTACGACGTGTATTCGCCCTGGCTAGTCCCCGTTGAACCATGGACCCTCGAAGGTTATGTTCGGGTTCTCTTGGGTCATGTTCTTCATATCGACATGGCACTTCGCCATGAACGGATATCACGTATTCTACGGCTTCGTCAACCATGTTGGAGATGAGGGTGGTGCGATTGGGTATATAAACAACCTGAGGCGCTGGGACGATGTCGTGACAAACACTCTATATGCAACGCAAGAGATCTTGGGCGGCGCGGCAGCGGTAAGTACACAATGTTTGATCTTCCACACCTGTGTGGTGCAGGTCGTTCTCTCTTGTGATGTTGCCGTACTCAATTGTCTCTGTTTTCTCAGATATATAGGTGCTTTATCCTGTGGAATAAAGACTGGCGAGTAATCGCGCTCCCGCTGATGCTCCTGACCGCTAGCATTGGTAGGTGCCCACCGCCCAGTGGCGCTCCAAGCCATCTCCGTCCCGCTGAGTTCTAACGACGCCTCACCCTCCTTAGTCTCAGGATATACCGTCTGCGCTCTATTCGCGCAAATCGACCCGACGCTCTACGTTTTTGAAAGCCATCTCCAGTCATGGATAAAGGCGTTCTACTCAATCGCCGTCGTCCAAAACATCATCACCACCGGCCTTATGGCATTCCGCATCTACCGAACATCGTCAAAATCAGCGAAATACCGAACCGAAAGCGCCTTGATACCAATTTTGCGCATACTCATCGAATCGGCGGCCCTGCAGCTTGTCGTAGAAATCGTGCTGCTCGCGCTGTACTCCAGCAACAACAGCGCCCAACGTATACCGCAGCTGCTGATCGCACCGATAGTGGTGAGTCGTCTTTTCCAAGCTTAACCTTCGAGGGGCGTTTTGGACAGAATGGTTCTGACGGGCGGCTGCGGATTCCAGGGGATTACATTCAACGCGATAAGCATACGGATTAAGCTTCGCGCGATTGGCAACAGCCACAACTCGTCTTCTCAACCAGGATCGCCCGTCGTTCAGACCATTGGGAGTCTCCCTATGAAGCGTATCAAAATTGATATCACTACCCAAGTGGAGGATGATGCAGATGCAGATTCAGCCGCGAAGGAGAGTCTGCATGGGTCACCAGTTTAGGATACTAGCCCCTCAGTTCTGCTCCCAGCTCGCAACATCCCCCATTCACTCCAGACGTTCATTAGTCAAATTTGTACCAGTACATCCCCATATCCAAAGGCTCACAATCGTACTATATCTTTCTTACACCTGAGAGAGCCTGGGATCGCGGATAATGCGTTCGCGGGTTTGATGTCCAATCCATCGCTGGGTACAAGGGCTTGTCATTGTTTCGAAGCCCTACGGGGCACTTGGACGATCGCGGTGTACGTATAGTTTTGGAAGCTGGCGACAATCGTGGATTATGTAGTTCCCTCTCTCGCTTTCGCTTCTCCCGCACCTATATCTATCTCCGTGATGGTGTCTACCGTGATCCGTTTCATGGGCATACTTCCAATCGTCTGCACGGGATCAACCTGCGAGTGGGTAGTGGAATCCCTGATCATACGAAGCTTTATACGAACAGCTATGGCATTGAACGTTATACCCTCCAAAGCCCCAGCAAAAGCGCCTCATCGAGCGGTAACTGAGAAGGCATTCGATCGAGTGGAACCAGGAGGATTCAGGAATTTGAGTCTGCTGCCTATACGAAGGGTATAAAGGGCGTAACCACCCAACAGCAGCCATAGCCTCGATGGCGTTTGGGCGCGATTTGCTCCTCATTCGCGACGCTGTCGGAAGGCTTTATGGTTGATGAAGGTGCACAAGATGTGGTGCTTGCCAAATTGGAGTACAGCGCCGTGCGTTTATTTCAGCGCTTCGGCAAGAACGGGCTTTGCTGTTCTCAAGATGAACGTTGAACTCTTATGCCCGGATGACTGCTGTGCGTCGTATGCAGCCGATGTTTTTGGCAGACGTAGAATGAATACCGCCAGATATCGGCGCACTTGTTACCCCAGAATTTGAAAATTGCCCGACGCCTGAGGAAATCTTTCATCAAGTGTCGACGACTACTGATGGCTGTGAAACATATAGAAAATAATGTTTTGGATGAGCTCGTCCCCCTTTTCGTAACCCCATAATGGTGGACGAAAATGGTGAACAAACACATCCAAGGAGCTTTGCGTGTTCATATCTGATATCAAAATCTTGTCCACGGAGGCGTTGATCTGTACGACTTCTTCCACGGCTGTCTACATTCGTATTAACCCAGTCAAGAAGATTTATACCTGGAAAGAAAGGCATACTGCGTAGTGCGTCGGGGACCGGGATCTGAGAATGAAGGAAGACAGTGTCGTCAATATGAACTTTTCCTATCCCGCAGTATCGCCGCTCATGAGATAAGCTTTTGGGAGGTGCTTGGATTTACCAGAACAGCGCACAACTAAACTAAATACATCAGTGTTCGATGAAGGGCGAGTCAGTTTTTGTGTGTCGGTGACTGCGCCAAACGCGCGTACCGAACGTGATAACGGCGGTAGGGATTCCACTGCGCCACAGAATAAGGCGAGAGCACCCATGCTTTCCGCGACTTTACCCTCGAGATTGCCAACTCGGCACCATACTCCGAATCCTGCACAAGATCAGCATCAGCGAACTGTAACGCGGAGGCGTTGATGCACACCCACTCTAGCAGAGGGATCGATTCCCATGGAATATATTCGTGGGGGTCCAGTAACTTCTTGATAGTGGCGGTATTCTCATCTGCGCCACCGACAACGGACGTGTCTCTTCAACCCAAAGTCTTCAAGCGCGAGCGTTTCCCGGTTACTTGGGTGCCTAAGGGAGGCATCTCCAGCTTGCCAAGTTGTTCGTATGGTGATGCCTCGCGGCGAAACATAGCCGAGTAAACGACCATCGGTAGACAGAATTGTCAAAGTGATGTGAGCCACGTTTCGGCGCTAAGATTAACGTAAGCGCTCGCACGTGAAGCAGAGAAATCCGAACTTTACACACCGACGCAGTTCACCCGTGTAGCCGAGCCTATCAAAAACCATCAGGTACCGGATACACGCAAGCTGCGAGCTGGTCGCGAGGGACTTTCTTCAGCCACCAAATCCGACACCCCCGCACGCGATACTCGAAGAATCCGCTTGGATTTTCTGGAACGGACTAATAAGATATAACTACGTCTAAGTTATTGTAGAGTACGAACGGCGAAGGGAGGTCAGGCCACTGAGCTGCGGAGAAAGGACGTCAAGTCAGCAGGGAAATAAAGGAGATGTCACGGACGAGACTCGCTCAATGACCGTCTGGGGACTGGGACTAACGGCGCGGGGCCAACGTCGACATCTTCAAGCCTTCCGACAGCTCTTGCTTCCATTCCAGGCGCTTGATGGCCTCCGCGTAATCCACCCACTCTCTTCTCCGTTCCCTGGCCTCCAGCCAATCAGAGTCAAGCGTCGACACATCCAACTCGTAGAAGTGATAGGTCGCCGACGGCGAGTATATTGTCTTGACGAAGCGCGTTATTTCGCCACGGGCCCCGGCTTCGTGAATCAGAATGCCGGTGATGCGTAAAGACCAGGACGGTTTGCAAAAGGGAGGCGCAAAGAGGACGAGAGATCAGGAGGTGAGGAGACGGAGAGAGGGACAAAGGGTGAGACCTTCTTCCAAGGCTTCCCGTAACGCAGCAGCCTCCAATACACCATCCGACGGCTCCCACCCGCCTTTTGGTACTGAATGCAAGATAGGCGTTGAAAAATGATAAAAACCACGTCGTTGAGTACTCGGCGCAGACGACGAGGTGAAAACCGCTACTCACGGACCCAATTATTTGGCCGTTTTCTGCTGGTGACCACAAGGACCTTGCCCGCCGACCTTGCGATGGGGATGGCGCAGCAGACGATGCGTGGCGTGGCGCGCCCTTTGGTGTTCATTCCGCTGCTCGTATCCGACGATGGTGGGGAGTGCCGAAGCGCCGGGCTCAACAATTGGCCCAAGGCAACGTCTTGCAGTCGCAAAGCGTGAATGATTCACTTTCACGCACGTTCTTCGGCTATTGGCCTCCGCTAGGGTCTCAGGGGGCTGGACTAGGGGCCACGCGCGAGAACTCACAGTACAGAAATTGTTCTTCAAGATCGCGTCACGAAAGGAGTTTGACACCTACGTTAAACCATCGAAAAAAATTGTTTCTGTTACTCCGTACAATTGCAATGATAATTTGACTTGCGACAAATTTCACCCCTCCGTCGCGATTCCCACCTGGCGCTTCGAAGGTCAGCTACAAAATAAGTTCCTGTGAATAAAACACGAATATCCACCAGCACGAGCGTAGCTCTATGCTTGTGAACCAATGCACGCTTCTTTTACGGCATCCTCGAGGAAGAAACGTTCCTCGTAACAAAGGTCTAGGCGGGTGGCAACTCTCACGAAGAGTTGAGTAGCCGGCAAGAGCGGCTTAGTTCCCTCGAACGGGTCACTGCGGTAGAATATCTAAAACAAGTATACTGCCATTACAGTAAGTGGAACATGGAGTTCAGATGAGGACGTACCGAGGCTAGAATAGCTACAAAATTCGGAGCTCATCTGGCACCGTCACCCCTATAATGAGCTCAGGAGATAACCGCACGTGATACGGCGCGTCGCGATCAGATTCAGTTGATTTGTTCCAGTCATTGTCCTCCGCCATTATGTCGACTTTCAGACCGGAAGATATCGAGGCCCTTGCGGCTCAATTCGCAGCGGCGTCTTCTCAGCTCAACATTGTCAAGAGCGTCGAACAATTCAACTCGCCCGAAGACGAATCCGCAGATGCAAAAGACCCAGCACTCGTCGCGTCAGATCTAGCCGCGCAGACGGTAAGATGCTGTTGCACTAAGCCACGTACGATTATGCTCATTAATGAACCCAATAGGCCTTTCTTCGCAAGTTAAAGTTCGCGTATCTGGAGCAGAACGCGAAGGACAAGTATGTGAAGACCATCGTGAGCGACATCGACGATGCGCCCATCGTAACCGCCGATGACAACAAAGCGCTATTTGCTTCCAACGAGAAGATGAAACACCAACTGAAATCCGCGAAGGAGAGTCTCTACCAGACGCAGAAGAACATCCGGGAGCTGGCACCCACCGTTGAGCAAGGTGAGCCCAACTTGTGATCGTTCCTGCTCACTTCTCATGTCTTGTGCAGAATACGACAAGGCTCAGAACTTGACTATGCGCGCTTCCGCGCTATCGCAGAAAATCATCGACGCTCGGCTCGATCTGATCCGCCTCCGTCAAACCCACCCCCACCCGCGCCTCACCATCCCCCTCGCAGACCAGAAACTCGTCGATCAAGTGGCTGAGATGCAAACCCTCAACGACGAACTCGAGGAGGCCCAGCGCCAGATGCACAAGGTCAAAGAGCGAATCAGAGCCGGCACGAGCGAGGCTGAGAGGCTGCGGATGGAGAGGGCCGAGACGGAGCACGCGGTGCGGAAGATCAAGGACAGAGCTGCCGCGGATGCGCAGAATGAGCGTTTGTTGGTGTCGCTGTATGATTGGTACGTGTTAACACCTTCCATCACGAAACTGTCTATTAATCGGGCGTGAGTAGGTACACGTCTTCACTGGCGCTCCACCGCTCCATCCACGGCCTCGTCGCCGCTGAGAGCATCTCCGATAACGAGCTCCGGCTCCAATATCGCATTGACTCATCTCCCCCGTTCGATCTCACCATCGGATTGATTTTCGAACCAACGACGCGTAAACTTGCCTCGGTTGCAGTGTCCACTCATCCAGAGGACGCGTTGGAGGGACTTGGGTTTCCTGAGAACGCGATGGACGAGATTATTGGCGTAAACGTGCAACGGAACGACCCCCACAACGTCGTCTCCGCGATTGTGGCCCGTGTACGAGGAGGGCAGCAGTAGCCGGTGTCTATCGTTCGCTACAATCGGAGACTCGTTGCACTCCTGCTCGCTCTTACGTACACCGCCGCCCGTTTGACCACTGAACCACTCCGTCAACTCGACTTTTGGGTTAATGGTCGACGGCAACACGCGGCAGCGCTCTCTCTGGCTACTCTTTCGATACAATCGACGAGTCCTGAACTCGGAGTCCTTTCTCCGTGTAGACCGGCGACTCTATCGAAGCGTAGCGCAATCGCCGCTGATGTACGAACATCCCTTGAGTCAAGATCACTGCACCGATCCTTGTCTTGTCTTCAAGCGAGCTATACCGCTCTGCCGCTTGTCCTTACGTATCTAGATATTCGTATGGAACTCGCTTTGCCTCCCAAGACGTGAAACGTCCCGAGTACTTGTACTCGTGATGAGTCAGTTAACTCGGGTCCTGCCAGTTATGTACCCATAATCGAGCCACTATCCTAATATATGCACCGTTGTTCATTCCCCTTCTTCACGTACACGATTCAATTATAGAATTTATCTACATCTCCGGACTGCTAGGAACATATACTCTGGATCATAGCCGACTCGCCAGGGTATGAGCCTCCTCTTTAACGGTGCCTCTCTTCAATTGCGCCACGAGCACGGATCAGAGGCATAGCCGTTGTCTGAGGTCTCCTCATGTCTCGGTTCAGCAAGCTCATGACGTTCATCAATACATCAATCAAGCCCGAGGTCCCTGTTCGTCGGGAGCTTTGAAGCTAAGCTATAAATTCAGTGTACTAGGGTAAATATCCAACTCACTCACCCACAACGATGGATATGCACAAAGTCGACCGCTGGATGTACGATGTCAGGCGCGCTAAAGTGAGTGCGGATAATGTTCGGCTATGTTTTCAGTTGTTGACCGGTGGCCAACGCATCTCGACTCCCACATTGATCCTATCTCCCCGCCACGAACAACCTTCTTCCGGCCACCCAATATCGCCCTCCATACAAGATGGGAATATTTGACATGCCTGCGACCATACACGATACCAAAAGCAGCTCCCCGTATACACAGGAAGGTAGGTGTGTGATTGAAATCATTCTATTCCAGTGCTGCCCCTCTAATAAAGTGCAGGCCTCATTCTGCGTATTTGCCTTATCCAACACGCAGCTGAACTCCCATGGACTCCGCCCCGGCAGCTTCCTTCAAACCGCTGCTGAACAAGCTGGTGCAGACGCCAGAGTATTTTAGCGCGGATGATCTGCGGAAGGCGCTCGACCTCCTCTTCACCCCCGACGCTCTGCACCCAGCCCAAATCGGTGCCTTTCTGACAGCGTTACACGTCAACCGTGTTGAAAGGAGACCAGAGTCCCTCGCTGCAGCTGCCCAAGTTCTCCGCGATCGCGCCTTAAAGGCCGCCGTCCAAGACGCGGAGGGCGACTTCGTGGTGGATATCGTGGGTACTGGCGGCGATGGGTACAACCTGTTCAATGTCAGCACCACAGCGGGCATCGTGGCTGCTGGCGCGGGGGCTCGGGTGATCAAGGTACGCGCTTTGCTGATTCGAATTTCCGATCCCTTATCTTATCTTTCTTTCAGCATGGCAGCCGGGCTTCTACTTCATCGTCCGGTTCTGCAGATTTGCTGGAGGCCCTCGATTGTCTCTTCGTGGCCCCAACGCCCGGGACTCCCATGCCCATCCCGCGCGTCCCTTTCACCTTCATTCTCGCTCCCCATTATCACCCTGCCCTCGCCTCCATCGCGCCGTACCGCAAGGCCCTACCCTTCCGCACCATGTTCAACGTCCTCGGCCCCCTCATCAACCCCGCCCGCCCCCGGGGAATGGTCCTCGGCGTCGCCGAGAAAGAAATCGGCGCCACATTTGCGCAATCTCTCCGAGACGGCGGCGTCGAGCGTGCGCTCGTGGTGTGTGGGTACGAAGGTCTCGATGAGATCAGCTGCGCCGGCCCCACATGGGCCTGGGAACTCATAGACGGCCAGGTAACCGAGAAAACGCTCACGCCCGAGGACTTCGGGCTGAAGAGACACCCGCTATCAACAGTCGCGGGAGGCGGCCCAGACGAGAATGCGGCCACTTTCAAGAAGTTGCTGAACGCCGGCGATGAAGTTCCATCGGAGTTGGTCCCTCTGCTGGAGTGGGTATGCATGAACGCGTCTGCGTTACTGTTCGTTGCTGGTCTTGCGCAGGATCTGAAGCATGGTACTGAACTGGCAATGACGAGTATAAAGTCGGGGAAAGCATGGGAGGCTCTCGCCTTATTCCGCGATGCAGGCAAAGCCCTACCGCCGTTACCAACATCAGACGTTTGGTAAGCCTATTCTATCATACTCTGCACAGAGACTGACTCACACCTTCGCGCAGACTTGAAGAAAATTCGAACACTGATGTATATAGTTTAGTCGTCCACTATCCTGGTAGATCCAAGAATCAATCAAAACCTCACTGGAGGCGTTCACATGAGCGGCGATACTGCGGAATAGGAAAGGTTAATATTGACGGGGCTGTCTTCATTCCCAGATCCCACTCCTCGATGCGTCCAGCTTTCGTCCCCAATTGTACACTGGGGTGAAACAACCTGGCTGAGGAGATAGTTGAAGAAGACACACTAGTCAGCGACTTAACGGACAAGGCTCTAATATCAGATAGGAACGTCAAAATCTTCTAAAACCTGACTCACTCCCTACCGTCGGTGCGACCTGGGGTGGTACACACACCGCTACATTTAATGCGGTTTTACTACAGTGTGCAGGCCATTTGTGGGAGGGTGTCCAATATGGGTCTTGGTGGAAGAGCCTATCTAGTCAGTGGCTTACGAGTTCTTCACCCAGTGTACAGCGGGGTGAATGGTTGCGTGCACGGATATTCAATGTTGGTGTCTTGAATCTTGATTATTTGTAGACCCACATCGGCTCGCGAAGTACCGGCCTCAAAGTTCTGTCAAACACATTGAAATTTGTCTACGCAGAGATACACAGGACCTCGCGTATGTCGACTACACTTGAAATGCGAAATATGTACAATTTGGGCATGGGCATGGGCATCAAGCCTCTGCGCTGCGCTTAGATATTCGGACGGGGATGTTCAAAGGACGGCGGAGGCAGCGATGCCGTTCTGGGCAATTCTATTCGCGGTGCCGGAAGCTGCAAGACACGGCGTGAGTTTCATCTTAGTGCAACACATGGATGATGGTGACTACTCACGGATGCCGGTGAGGGCGTCTTTGGAAGACAATTCCACGACCAAAGCTTCGATCTCAGCGGGGGTCTTGTTTCCGTGGACACTGATCAGATACGCGACCAAGCCGGCGACGTGAGGTGTGGCCTTCACAAGCATCAATACAGGTCTCTGCAGGCGAAGAATTGGGGTATAGGCTCACCATGCTGGTGCCGGAGATCTTGTTGGTAGCGTCGTCGCTGCCGATCCACGAGCTGATGACGTCTTGGCCGGGTGCGAAGACGTCGACGACGGCGCCGTAGTTAGAGAAGGAGGCGCGGGCGTCGGCGATGTTGGAAGCACCGACGGTGATAGCGGAGGGTGCGCGAGCAGGGGAGGTGTTAGCAGCATCGGTGTTGGAGTTACCAGCGGCGATCTAGGTATATCAAATGATCAATCAAAGAAAGCCTCCTTCTGAACGAGATGTCAACGTACGACGACGTGGACGCCGCCGGCTGTGAGCTATTGAAGAATGGCTCGTAAGCCAACAGGATACTGCCTGGATGGTAGGACGTACAGTTGCCACGGCGTTGTCTAGAGGAGTAGACCTGCCACCACCCAGACTCATGCTCACGATGGTTGGGCGGCCGGAGGCCTGGTAGGAGTCGAGGACATAGTTGAGGCCAGATACGCTATGCCGCATGGGATGAGAATCGCGGCCGACAGTGCGAATCATTCGGGCAACGTACATATCAGCAACACTTCCACTTCTATATTATCATTGCACTGAAATCAGTGATTTTATTAGCTGTGAGCGCAGCGATACGAACCCTCCATCACTGAGAACTTTGACGGCGATGATGTTGGCAGCCTACATCACGTTGAGTGTTTATACGGCCCCATTGGAGAGATGGACTAACCTTGGCGACGCCGTAGGTAGACCCGGCGACAGTACCGCTATCGGGGCATCAATGCCTGACCGCAATGCGCAGGAGGAGTACTCACGCGCAGTGTGTGCCATGGCCATGACCGTCGGCATCCCTTGATGCAGGAGGTAAGGAGGGGAATGCATATGCTCCTCGTTGTACTCACTTGTACGAACCGAAGGTGGCACCCCATCGGGCACGACCTCCGAATTGTGTCTATTGAAAATCGCATCAACAAACCCTTCCAAGTCCCCAGAATGACACCAACTCACATGATTGGTGAAGACACCTGCACGAAAAAGTGCACTTTAGTCTCATTTACCGAAGTCTTGGAAGATCTTACCGGTGTCTATTTATCGAGGTTAGTCGGCTAACACCGAGGCCAAAGTGAAATACGCACCAACAACGTAGACGTCAACGCCCTCACCTGCAGGTGGCGCATAGGTGTACGTAAAATTGAGACCTGCCGCGGGTCCCTCAACGGTAGTCGGAGAGCTAATTCGGGCAAGGCCCCAGGGTGCATCGGTTCTATCCCATTGTGCGTTAGCCTGCGGGCGTAATAAGAGCTGATTGGGCGTACTGGGTGACGACGTCTGAGTCCTGGAAAATGTGCATGATGCCATCCTCTGAGATAGACTCAACGAGGGGAGAGGCGCGTAAAAATTTCAACGCTCTGTCGGAGAACTTTCCTGTTCAAAGACCAGCGTCAGCACCGTATACCGGGAACTGGGACACAAAATTGCAGACCAGCAAAGCCGTTCAAGGCAGCATCCCACTGGTGAGTGGCCTTCTCGCCGAGCGACTTGAGGATATTGTTCTTCGCGACGCCAGGCTTCAGCTTGATGATGTAGCTTCCGTGGTTGCGTTCGCCAGCGAATGACTCGACGCTCTTAAGCGTAGTCGGGACGGCCAAGATCGGCGCGCAAAGCACGAAGAAGGTGAGCACGCTGGAGAGCAAACGCATTGTGGCAAGAAGAAGGCGAAGTTGCGATTGAAGTGAAGAGGCTGTTGCTGAACACTGAAGAAAAAAAGGGGATTTCGGGGGCTATTTAAACAAAGGCATTGCGAGTGTGGGCTTCTGAGCCAAGTGATGGAGCATGCGGGGGCGAGGGGCTAGGAATACTTTCACCGCTGTGATAGGAAGAACTTGAGAACTGGAAGTATGCTCAGCATCCGGGGGCGAAGAGAAGCAGGTGGTACGTTGGTCTGCGAACTTCATGAGGCCTGTGGCGAAGAGAGCAAGCAGACAGGTGGACATCGCGTTTGACAGGGTCTCTAGAGCAATATAAGGGATGGATGTCGCAAATATAAGCTTGCAGGCAGATCTCAGGTATGGTTCCTTGGGAAGCCTCTTTTGAGAAGCGGTCTTCTAGTAGCAATACCGTGTGGAAGTTCGCTGATAGCGACCCGCACAGTCAAGAAACTTGCGTCAGGCCTGTACGGGGATAACATAGCGTCAGGATATAGTAAGTATTTTGATCGAAGACAACACGCGTGCAACATATCAGGATTCAGGACACATGGCTGGTCTGACGACTGCTTCGATGCCAAAATGGCTACAAGATCGTTAATCCTCCAGGCATGCCACAAGGCTCAGTGTTTATGATAGCCTCACCGAAACGCTGCAGTACACTTTGAAGTGCTTGAAGATGCCATCGTCGCTGCCTCTGTGGCACTAGGCTGGGGGATCAAATGCATCCCAACGTTTCGTGCAACATCGAAGGACCCTTCGGAGCATCGGAATTACCATTGAAAATGGAGAGGACGCAGCACTTTGCTTCAGATGCATATTTGGGGCAAATATGATGGTTTGTTGCGATAAGGAATGCAAGTTCATCGCTGGAAGCCATGCGGAGAGGCCAAACCCCCTGAAGACAACTGTGAATCATGTGATCAATAACTGACCAATCGTATCAGTTCCGCTTGTTCTCTGTCTTTTGCCGCTTGCGATTAGAATGCCCGAGATCACAATTCGAAAGCGACCCCAGGCAGAGGCAGTCATCACCCAGCGCAAATTCTTCAGGAAGACCGCGAGGGGGAAAGTTATCAAAGGTGAACGAAATGCGTTTTAGCTAGTTTACAAGATACTGACGGTTGTTACAATCAATAGTTCTCCGGGAGCGTTATTTGCGCACCGATGTGAGCTGCGGAGTGCAGCACTGCTCGGCATGCTCGCAGCTAGACCATTTCTCTGAAGGTTCATCTACGTCCGCGGAACTTCCACAATTCGGCGACAAATCTCACTCATCTTACCCCGATGGCCATTTCGTGCTGCCCGACACGAATATCTTCCTGGCTCAGGTGGGTGACCGCATTACATGACTTGCGTGCACTCCCGCTTATGTTCTTTCAGATGGATCTACTCGAATCCTCCTTGTTTCGTGCTCCGATCATCGTTTTACAGACTGTGATGGAAGAAATTCGACATCGATCACTCCCTCTGTTCAATCGGTTGAAGTCCTTGATCCATGGCGACGAAAAGAAGATATGGGTTTTCTACAACGAGTTCAGATCGTGAGCTCGCTCACCTTGACTCTTCTTTGCCGTCTTGACATCGGAGTAGCGAAACGGCTGTCGTCAGAGAGGAGGAAGAGACGCCGAATGATCGAAACGATAGAGGTACGTTCTTCGAGTTGGCCAAGGGCTTGCAACGCGGCTCACCGATGTCAAAGGAATTAGGAAGGCGACATCATGGTATAACGAGCACATACAAACTCATTGCCGCGCTACCACTTCGACACGTTCAAAGTCTCGCAGCAGCCCGCCAGCGCCGACGGTAGTCCTCATTACCAACGATGTGGCCAATCGGCGCAAGGCGGAGAAGGAGAAGACCCCTTGCTCCTCTCTTCGCCGGTATATCGAGGGCGCGAAAGACGCGACGCAGCTTATGGATCTTCTAGCAGCCACCGGGGTTGACGAAGACGATGAAGGGAAGGAGGATAGAGAGATCCAACCAACTGAGGCCGAAGCGGCTAGAAAAGAGGTCTATGAGGAAGTGCGTGCGTTCTTTTGCTGGTGGGATCCTGTCTGACGATCATCTAGCACCTCCCTGCTTCTATTCTCCTCGCCGGCATTAAAGCCAAAACTCTTCATCAAGGCCATTTCAACGCTAACCAGTATAATTATCTCGAGGTTGGTAATTGTCAATCACCTACGGAGACTACAGCCGCTTGCTCACTACCTTACCCACATAGAGCACCGTATCAGTCCCGGCATTCCAAAAGCCAGTGCTAATCATCGGGAGGATGAATATGAACCGAGCCGTGCAGGGTGATATGGTGTGCATCGAAGTGTTTCCCGAGAGCGAATGGAGAGCGCCAGGAGACGAGGTTGTTGAAAGGGATGGTACGTATCCACCCCTCACAGTCGGAACCCTTTTCTGGAGGTGACGCTGACTTTCTTTTAGCCACCTTGAAAGACGACGACGCGGGGGATGAAGAGGACGAAGAAGGCGAAGAGATGGAAGACGATGTCATAGAGAGGGAGCGGCGGAAATCGAGGCTCGAGGCAAAGCAGGAGGAGGAACGCCTCAAAAGACAGCAAGAGAGGCAGCCAACCGGCAGAGTCATCGGTATCATCAAGCGGAACTGGCGTCCGTACGTATCCTCTCACCTCTGTGTGGACCTATCATCTAACATCTCCTCCGCGCCAGTGTCGTGTGTCACATCGACCCCATCACCCTTCCTCCGGCCTTGGCGTCTGGAACGTCCACCTCGCGCGGCCTGACACCCCTCCTCGCCATCCCCGCATCCCCACTCCTCCCCCGCATCCGCATCCGTACGCGCCAAGCCCCCTCCCTCATCGGCCAGAAGCTCCTCGTCGCCATCGACACCTGGCCCATCAACAAGCGCAACCCCGAAGGCCACCTCGTTCGCCGGCTCGGCGCCGTCGGTGATAAAGACACGGAGCAGGAGAGTCTGATGCTGGAGTTCGGAGTGGTTTATGCGCCGTTCGGAAAGAGGGTCATGGAGTGCTTGCCGGAAGAGGATGATAAGTGGGTCGTGCCGCCGAAACCTAGGCCGGACCACGGTGATGTTGATGTGAAGGCGAAGACTATATGGAGAGACAGGGAAGATCTGAGGGACATGATCATTTGCAGCATCGATCCTCCTGGTACGTTTCCTCTCTTTGCCTTCTGCTGCCACCCATCCGCCCCTTAGGTTGCCAGGATATCGACGATGCTCTTCATGCGCGACATCTTCCGAATGGCAACATCGAGGCTGGCGTTCGTACGTACCCGCCTTTCTTGCTTGCTTTTCCAACTCTGACTATGGAGCAGATATTGCCGATGTATCTAACTTCGTTCTCCCTGATACACCCATGGATACCGAGGCGGCATCGAGGGGTACCACCGTCTACCTCGTCGACAAGCGAGTGGACATGTTGCCTGCCCTTTTGGGCACCAACCTATGCTCCCTACGCCCACACGTCGAAAGGCTGGCTTTCTCGGCGATCTGGGTAAGCCTTTGCGCGAGTAGTCTACTCCCCTGTTGACCCATTGATATCTGTAGGAATTGACCCCGGACGCCGATATCGTGAACGTCAGGTTCACGAAGTCAGTCATCGCGTCCAAGGCTGCCTTCACATACGAAGAGGCGCAGATCAGGAAAGACGACCCGTCAGTTAGCTTGCACTGTCCATTGCCCATGTAGACTTACATTTCACAGACATCTCCAAGACGAGCTCACGACTGGCATCCGCCTACTCAATTCACTAGCGATCAAGCTAAAGGCGAAGAGGATGGCCGCAGGCGCTTTGAACCTCGCCTCCCCAGAGGTGAAGATCCACCTCGACAGCGCCGAATCTTCCGACCCCATCGACGTGGAACAAAAAGAGCTGAGAGAAACGAATAGCTTGGTCGAGGAGTTTATGTTACTCGCTAATGTCAGTGTGGCGCAGAAAATACAGGAAACTTTCCCCCAGACAGCCGTCCTACGGTAGGTCAAACTTCTAGCTTCTCTTTTATGTATTTATTCTGACGTTGTTGTTGGGTGAAGGCGGCACATGCCTCCACCTAAGGGGAACTTCGAGAAGCTCCAGGATATCCTCATGAAGCGCAAGGGTCTGAGTCTCGATGTCTCAAGTTCCGGTTCTCTCGCGGCGTCGTTGGATCTTTGTCTCGTCAGTACTCTGCGTCCCGTAGTGCTCTGACAAACCCACTGAACGTGTCTGCCTAGGATCCATCTGAACCTGCTTTCAACACTCTAGTGCGCATCATGGCGACTCGATGCATGCTGTCTGCGGAATACTTCTGCTCGGGCAGCGTGAGTAGAGATACCTTTGGTCACTACGGTCTCGCAAGTCCCATCTACACTCACTTCACCAGTCCTATCCGTCGTTATGCCGGTATGTTCGACCTTGCTTTGTCGCAATACTGCTCACATATACTTACATGTCCGTTATTACTAGATGTTCTCGCGCATCGTCAATTGGCTGCAGCGATCGGCTACACCACGCTCCACCCATCACTGCATTCCGCTCAAAATGTCGACAGAATACTAGATGTAGTAAACCGAAGGCATCGCATGGCGCAGATGGCCAGTCGGGCTAGTGTCGAGTTCTATGTCGGTCTCGCGTTGAAACAGCGAGGTGAAGCCCCCGACGAAGCGGGCGTTCAGGAAGAAGCATTTGTGATAAGAACGTTCAGGAATGGCGTCGGCGTCTTCGTCAACAAGTATGGTATCTCCTTTGACTGCGGGGTGTTTCTGACTCGTGCTCCCTCAGGCTGGGTATCGAAGGCATCGTCATGTTCAAACGCGACGCTACAAATTTTGATGCGGACAATTACACGATATCAATACCGGATTCACGAGGAACGGGGAACGTTGATATAGGCGTCTTTGATAAAGTAACCGTTCGCATAGAGGTAGAGAAAGACAAAAACACGCAGCGAGGGAAAGTGAAGATGACTCTAGTTCGTCCCGTGGATTCGAGTGCCTTGTAGGATGCATAGTTTGAAGGTTCTTTTGTGTTCCACCACACCGCTGTTCCCTGTCATGAGAATTTGAGTCTTTATTATTGTCCCCGGCGTTTCGATTCAGAGGATTACTGTTTGTTCATCTATATATGCAGGGGACTACAGATCGAGAGCACTATTCCGCCGGCGCTCTGGCGCGCCCACACTGTCGATAATGGACTTAGGTAACCTTACCACAGTGGATCAGATATAAGCTTTGTTATACACTTCGACGCTTACTCCGCCATCCTCCATGCCGATACAGTACCATCTTCTGTCAGGTTTGGCACCTTGCTGCTGGACGATCAAACATCGCAAGGTAGAGGCAGTGGTTGAAGAAGGAGACATTCAAATCAGCGACTGCAAATACCTCTCATCCTACAATTGGCTCCATGATCAAGGATCGACTATCATCATCCCAGGTGTGGACCACATCCTATCTCATATGTTCCCCGGCGCTAAGCATTACCCACTTTGCCAGGGTCCCCTAACGTCCTCCAGGACATCAACTCTATCACCCCAGGATCTATACAATTGATAGCTGATGGCGAGGGGCCCAGCCAAGGGTCAGGACGGAATGAGATGTTTTCGCCTCATATGTTGCCGCTCTTTGTTGCCGTGAATCTTGCTAGAATTCGCGGGTCTCAGATCTATGAGGAGCCGTTCGACTGGACATCGTTCCACTTCATCACCGATCGCTCTCTCCTTCGGCGACTGCATAGTTGGGCATGCACCAAGAAAGGCCCACCTTTCAGGATCGATATGCAACGTCTAGGATCGGAGACCATCGTTCTTAGCAGGTATGAGATGAACAACACCCACTACCCCCGATCGTTTGGATCCAGCTTCGAAGACATGTTTACAAGGCCGGCGGAAGGCTGTGAGAATACAACAACCCACCACCGAATCGTTTCATATGTGAGTGTGTCGTTGCCGGAGATATATAGTCAAGCTGACATAGTCTCACCCTAATAGGACATGGCGGGGTTGAAGATGGTAGTCCGTTTCGAGGTGGATGCTTACCTGCAAGATCCCGACGCCACCAAGCCTGATGCCAAGAGCGACTGTACTGCAGCACCAGAAGAGCTTCGACTATCTGGTTATGATCTGAAGATCAGATCCGGCGGCTCTTGGGAAGTACCCCAGTCATCCCTCGTGGAGCTCAAAACCACCAAAGCGTTGAACTATCCGAAATGGAAGAAGGATTACCCTCAGCTATTCCTCTCCCAGACCCCGCATAGCTACCGCGCTTTCCACGACAACGGAACAATCACAGAAGTTCAGCATGACACCTTGGATTCACTAGTGGCGCGAGGCATTCATAGGAGGAATGCAGAGGCTTTACAAAAGCTTCCGAAGTTGCTAAAGTTGATAAGGGGAGAAGTCATTAAACGAGGGGACCGAGGAAGACATATGAGCTTGGTATGTCAAGGCGGTGACCTAGGGCTGCACTACAGAATGTCGGGTGCTTTGATACCAGAAAGTGTTATGACAGCCACAAATAACTTATTCGAGGTATAGCATCATAATCAATTTTTTGTCTGAACCACGGAGCTACTCATAACATTTGCTTATTTAAATAATATATGGGGGACGTTTAAGCCTCATGCTAAGGCAGAATCTACTATCCTCGGGCGTTGGCCAAGAACTGCTCGTAAGTCTGCTCGGCAGTCGGGTTGACAGCGAAGGTCATACCCATCCTGCAGTGAGCGCCACCAGCCTGGCGGCAGGCGACCCACTGGGTGTTGCCAGAGGCGAGAGTCACAACAGCTTGAGGTTGGGTGGTGCCGGTAGCAGAGAGGCTAATGACTGATCAGCGTTGTGAAATAACATGCGGCAGGCGAACTTACAATCCAGTGTCGAAGCCTCCTGGGACACCACCAGCGGGGGGTGGGCAGGGAGTAGTGAAAGTGGTCGTGGTCGCAGAGTCTGGGAGGCGAAATCGTGAGCTGGATCGCACAACCATTTGGCTGAAGCGGCTTACGGTTCCTGGACATGAACGTGAAAGTGATGGTGTCACCAGCGACGGCACCCGTGATCGATGTCGGGTTGAAGGCAAAGGTGTTGCCTTGGCCAACGTTGACGGCGAAGTTGGCAGCGAGGGCGCTGGGCACAACAGCGAGAGCAGCGGCGACGATGGAGGTGAAGCGCATTGTGAAAGTTGAGAGGATGACTTTGAAGAACTAAGTCGATATCAAGCTGGAATGCTGATGCTGATAGAGGCTCGCCATGGGCAGCTTTTATACCTGGAGATGTAGCGCGTCGTATACAATCCCTTGCTTGCCGTTGGGGGCCGTTCAACCGCGTCAGGAAGGCGCTGTGAGAGATCAGGCAGAAACACCTCATGGTCCGCATCCGCAGCCATTGGTCAGAACATCGTATATGACGCCGCCTATTTCTTCAGACGACGGCCATTACGAATGAAATGAAGTCAAGTGGGATATTGAGTTGCCTGAAGGGCTAAAAATACTTAGCCAAGACCGAAAAGCCTACCTATATAGGCGATCAGCACGGCAAACAGTGAGAGAAACTTTGCTGCATACGACGGAAGGGCTGTTTACTTGACCTATGGGGGCGGTATGATTATGCTCTACATATCAAAACAATCAGGGCTTGTTTCGCAGAAAGGGCGCAAACGGATTCTCCTTGGGAAAGGCACAGAATAACTCCGAAAGAGAAGCTCGCAGCTGTCTGATGCAATCGAACTCAAGCTCGGTAAGGACTGTATAAAGGCAAGTGGACGCTTACTTGACGGGACCGAGTGGGAAAAGATGGGAAGTGGTTAGGAATGATGCTGGATCATAACGAACACTGAACTTCTGCCGTGCTTGCGTTAACTTCGAGCACAGTAATAGGCACGGCAAATGACCGAGACGACAAATCTTGCTGATATTGAGTTGTTGGTAACAATCGGGGCATTCACAGCGCGGCGAAAATAGCGCGTTTAGGGTATTTGCCATGTCACGAGCAGTGAGTAAAAGAAGAAGCTATCCCCATGATCCGATTCAGCAGGCAAGCGACAACGGGGGTGCATGGGCGTGACGCTCTCACGAACGAACAAACGTGGGTAGCCTAAAAGTTGGCATTCAAATGTTCAATGAGCGCCTGGGTGGAGAGATTCATTCTGAAGGCCAAAAGCCATGCGATGATTTGAAGACGCGTGTAAGTTGAATGCGATTGTTCTATCCTAGAGCCGCCGATGACATGCTATGGGAGGCATCGTTTGTGAACCTCGCCACAACACATGGGTCTGTAGTCGTTCAGCGGAGCAGCGCGGGAGCGCCGACGGCCGATGTAGGGGGGATAGTAGATGGGGATATGCATACGGAGACTGGCCAGCACTGGTTGCCTCATTCCAAAAGGCTATGGAGGCTAGCTGGAAGATCCGCTGCATACCACCGACAAGTAAGTCCATTTGTTCTTGTACCGGGTGATGGAAACGAGTCAAAACGAATTTCGAGGGTGCGACTGTCGTGGGAGGCGGCACAGAGTCCTGTGAGGTTTTACTCGCGACATCAACATTGTTGGGAATAAGGAGATAAGATAAGATAACACGAGGCGCCGCCTTCCCATCTGCTGGACTTCGCATCTAAAATTCAAATCCGCCATTCCATCAAAACTTCAAACACGACAATTGTCTAGGTTAAATATCAGAATATCTTCCGCACCAATCTTTTTCAGCTCGTCCATGATGTCTGCCACCTTGGACTTCTCCACCATAGCGCTGACGGCGACCCAGCCCTCTTCTTCCAGGGGAGATATCGTCGGCGCGCGTCGGCCGGGAGTGAGAACAGTCGCCTCAGGAAGCTTAGAGCGATGGATATTGTATTCGCAAACGACATATTTGCTGGCGGCGATGACCCCCTGGATGCGGGAAGTGATAACCTCGATGAGGGGTAAGAGGTGTGGGTGCTTTGGCGTGGAGGACTTGATGAGAACCGCCTCCGTCTCCAGAACCGTAGCTATTGCGTGAAGTCCCGCAGCACGCATTGTATCGCCCGACTCTGCAAGTCCATATTAAATCCATATATTTGCCCAGTCTCGTGAACGGGGGACATACCAACGAGATCGACGATCCCGTCCGCAAGTCCCAACGAGCAAGCAGCTTCGACGCTCCCCCCGACGTACTCAATCTGCGTGGCATTCTCGCCCTGGAGACCCAGTCTCTCATCGAGGTCCTTGAAATACTTGCCCGCCAGCCACTCGAAGCTCGTGACGATCCTCTTCCCCGCGAGATCGTCGACGCTCCGGATATTCGTCGACGCCTCGGGGGCCTGCACCTGCAAAGCGCACCTGCCGAAGCCGAGACGCAGCGCCTCGGTGACGTGTTGCTCCATCTGCGACTCGAGGATCACGTCGTGGCCCGTAATGCCCAGATCGACGTTCCCCTTACCCACGAATGAGGGGATATCGGACGCAGGGAGGAAGACGCTGCATTCCCGTTCAAAATTCTGATCTTCGCCGATTAAGTATACCGTGGTACTCACAGTGCGATCGGGTGGTTCTTGACGATGCAAACATCCAGGCGATCGTGCCTCCGAAACTGTATATCGGCGCCAGCTAACAAGGACACGCATTTTTCATGCAGGCGCCCTGTGCCTCGTCAAACAGGATAGATTCAGCTCGAGCAGAAATATCGGCTCACCTTTCTTCGGGATCGCGAAAAGCAACCTGCCATCCAGCGCAGCTGGGTCCAAGACTGTGAGCGGAGATAAGTTTTCCTGGCTAGGGGTATATACAGGATAAGAGCTCGCACTCATGATTCTACCTTTGAGGATCTAGGGGTTGCGGATACTTATGTGGGCTTATCGGCACCCCAATAGAACCACCAGAGACGAAGCGATGTGAATCTTGAATTGTAGCACGGTGAAAGGTGGACAGGCTCAAGCTCGGGAATCGGAAGGTTGGCACCATGTTTGTTTTTTGTCGGAATTATTTCGTGACTGGACAAGATAGGGGCACAAGCGCCGAGGCCTCACCGGCACCTTTGCAGCGCAGTGAGCCCGGCGCATTGTGTAAATGAACTATAACTACACATACGGGGGTGAATCGAGGGCACGCTCGCCCAAAACGCATGTTAAACCTGACTTCACACAGAAAGTTTATGTACCTTCGCGGTTCGATGTGCCCTTGGTTATGCCGCCGGCGCGAGAAAGACTGGAAGATCTGCACCTAAGCTACTCATCATAAATAGTCCTCAGACGGCAGGACTTTCCACGAACTCTGCGACCAAATCCACAACCATAGGAGGCTACACTTTCTCTAACCACGTGATACAACTACAATGCCGAACCAGGGATGCTCAATGCTCACTCCTCGTCAAAATACTCCATGATCTCTTCGGGCAGAACATCCTCCTCATTCTCGCACTCATACACCCCCAAGATCCCCGCCTCCGAAACCAAGCTCACCCGCGAACTCCCGCCTCTCTCGACCAGCAAATCCTGGATGGCCCCCAGCACCCACCGCAGCGCCTTCAGCCGCGGCTGCTCGGCCCGCCGCACGCGCTCCATCGCCACCGACCGCAGGTTCTCGCGCACGAGGCGGGTGAACGTGCCCTGCCTGTGGATCCCGACGAAGCAGTGCGGCGTCTGCGACACGAAGAGCTGCGTGTACAGGTCCGTCCAGCTCATGGTCTCGAAGTTGCGCTGCGAGCGCGTCGTGAGCTCGACGATGGCGGACTGGGGCGTGGACCACGAGCCGCCGGGGTAGACGGTGAGCCCGGAGTGGAAGGAGGCTTTGTCTGGGGGGAGGGCCGCTTTGGGGGAGGGGGCGGGGGTAGTGGGCGCGAGCTTGACGTTTGCGAGTGTGTCTGCGAGGTCGTCGACGCTCGCGGGAGTGTTGGCGGACGGGCCTTTGCGCCAGGAACGCTCGGGAGGGCTGGTATCGGGTAGCGCACCATCGGGTACGTACGCATCAACTTCATAACGCACGATCATCTTCAGCCCATTCATATCCTTCAAAAGAAAAATTCCCACCACCACATCAGTTATAGTTACATTAACCAGACACACAGCAAGGCCCGCCTCAGTCTTACTCACATAGCGGATAATCCTATGATGCCCGACGCCCTCTTCGCACTGCGGGGCCGCCTGTGTGCACGCCTGCTCGTAGTTATGGCCGAAGCCGTTCCCGGCCATCTCCCGCACGTTCGTCGAGTAGCGGCAGAGCAGGACGGTCTTCGGCCCCGCCAGCTGCGCGTCGATGCGGAAGTCCGAATTGGGGGCGTCCTCGGCGGCGACGATCCAGCGGAGGAGCTTGCGCAGGCTGTTGCGGTCGGTGATGACGTCGTGTGCGGGCCAGTCGAAGGCCGGCTTCGGCTTCGACGTCAGCAGGGAGGGGTCGACATCGGGGGTGGGGGCATCGAGGGTGGGGGCATCTAGGGCGGCGTCAAGGCTGGATTTTATGTTGACGGCGACGAAGAGGGGGAGGAGGACTGCGTCGGGCACGCGATAGCCGTTCTGGTCTGCGACGACGATGCCGACATCACGCCCGAGCGTAAACGGCATCCGCTTGTTCACCCATTCCTTCGGCGATCCTGTGCGTCTGCATGGTTAAATTCTTTCTCCCTCTATACCCCTCTACACCCAAAAACGATATATATACACAATATGGGACGCACCAGGGACGATGAGGCTCGGTAGTTTGCGATCCAGCCAGTTGTACGACCCGATGTATTCGACGTTCGTTACCTCGACATCGGGTGCGGCGTCCGCGGATGGTCTGGCGATGGTCTGCACGCGCTGCAGCAGCCCGTCTTTGATACTTCGCGCGGCAGGTAAGGACATTCGCTACGAGTTACCAAGGCACAGGCAGTGCTGTGTTATCGATGGTGGAGGCGACACCAAGCGTGTCTTGTGGGAAGAAAGGTTAACTGGGCTCCTCGAAATAGTTCATTTCAGAACAAGCTCACTAGATATGGTCCGAGTGTGGGTCCCGACTCCCCAGCGCTCGATGTATATATAACCCATGATGTACCAGCCAAGTCGTGGCGATACGCCCGCGACACGACGCATTGCGCATCGTACCGAGTCTGCGAAGTTCGATGATATCGCGATTTGTCGAGCAGATAGCGAATAGCAAGGCCGTAGAGCTGAGCGCTGAGATCTGAGAGCGCATTTGTGGGAGTCCCTAGTCAGCCGACTGAATATCGAATATCGAAGATTCAGCCGTAACTTTCGCGTCGCATGAATAACACAGTGAGTACGTACTACAGTGAACGCGAAGGAACGAAGGTATGCGTGTACTTACACGCGGGAGGTGGACAGAGTACGTACGGGAACGCGCAGATACAAGGACAAGGCCATGCAGCAAGAAGAGGCTATTCGGGCACGCTGGATGGAGGATATAGCTATATAGCTCTATCGGCGCGGCCAGAAAGCGATAATAGGGAAGAAGGAGAACACACCTTTACAACGTCTCCAACCTCCACACAAAACCCACAAAACCGCCAAAAAATAAAAACCTAAAAACCAAAAGAAAAAAACGAAGATCAAACATCCTACATGCCTCGACCCTGGATCGAACAGGGGATCTTCGCATTACGAGTGCGACGCTTTACCACTGAGCCACCGAGGCGGTGCTTGTTACTCTGCCGTCTCTAGTTTAGTCTCCCGTCGTCTACGCGGTGCACCTCCATCAACGATTCAATCCATCCCTCTGCCCACCACTGCGTCTTTCAGCAAGTCTATTTTTACACGCTTCCGCTACTCGTCTGCCTCCTCTAACTTTGCCTGGCAACCCCAGACATCCATCATCCACGATTCAGCAGGCGAAAAGGAGAAAGGAGGAAGGAGAAAGGAGAAAAGGAACGGACATCTATTCACAAAATAACAAACTGTAACGAGCGGCGACAACATCACGATTCACGGACAGCACAGACGGCAATGCAATAGAATAGAACAGGGCAGGACTAGAGGGTATATAAGGTATGTGGATATGGATATGATATGCGCGGAGATCGGTATGCGGATAGAGGGAGGGAGGGAGAGATACGCAGAGATATGTGAGAGATAGGAAGAGGAGGGGGGAGGCGGAGAATGGAGAGAGAGATGTGTCGCGGAGAGATAGGTACGTAGAGAGGTAGGTGGGTAGGTAGGTAGAGCGATGTATAGATATATACTCGGATTGCGTAGACGATAGACGATCATTGGGGCGCCCGCGCCCCCAACACCATCGTAACGAATACCTAACACCAACCGAACGCAAACGCAAACGCACTTGAACGCGCTACGTCCGCACGTTCGGGCTGGACGCATTTGGCACCCCGGCGTACGTATACGGCGACAGCCGTATATTATCCGCATCCGAGTCGGGGTCTCCCCCATACCCACCATACCCATACGCGTACGCGTCCTCCTCTCCTCCTCCTCCTCTCCCCCTTCCGTTCCCCCTTCCCCCGTACCCATACCCACCTGCCCCACCCGCCGTACCACCCGCGCCTCCGCCATAACCATCCCCGCCCCCAGAGCCAGCCAAACCACCTGCACCTCCCAAACCAGTATCCATCGGCGCCGCGACGGGATACACAGGGTACACGCCCGGGCGCACCCCGAACGCCTCCCCAAAGTCCATCTTTGGGCGCCCCGACGTGTTCAGCGCGCGGTGCCCGTGCCCGCGCGTGTGCGGCTTCCCGCGCAGGTACTCGATGAAGAAGCGGAAGGAGCCGCTGATCTCGGCGGCGAAGTCGGCTGGGGGAGAGAAAAGGGGGTCAGTGTGAGTGTGAATGGCGTAGCGAGGCGAGGGGTAGTGCGATGGGATGATATAAATGATATGATATGATAGATGAACACTCACACAGGTTGATGCTACACGAACAAAATGGTCAACCGTCAGTTCTGTTTCTTCACGGAGAGAGGGAGGGAGGGAAGGGGGAGACTGACCTATCCCACAGCGGGCGCCACACGCTCGTCGGAGGCTCGCCCGTTTTGCGCTTGTACTCTTTTGGGGTGTAGGCCCACCACATGAGGATGGAGAAGAAGACCATCTGCGGTTGGAGGTCAGTATCTGACGGCGGGGAGATGATGTGGATGGAAGAGAAGGTACGGAGATGTGATGCGGAGGGGGGTGGATGGATGGGTGGATGGGGTTGATGTGATGGTGCGTGATGACGGGGTACAACGCACCTCGATGCAAATCGCCAACGCGTTCAGGCCATTCTTGATATTCGACACCGTCCAATACTGCGTTTCTGCATCCAACAAACAGTGTTAAGCGAGTTCAATGGATCATACCCAAACAAGAATATTCACAGCGAATGGAATGGGTGGATGGAGGAGGAAGATTGTACTCACCGTGTATGACGTGCCCTTCCAGAGCAGTGAACTGTCGATACGTCCGGGGTGCACATGCATGGAGAAGGTCAGTAACAACGCATTACGGTGCACGGCATGCAGAGAAGCACGGAGGACGGAGGGAGGAAGGAACACATACAACGAATGACTGGTAGAACGTGAACATCACGATGAGCTTGATACTCAGGAACTTCGCGAGCGGGCGGCGCCCGTGCAGCTCGTCCTTCATCAGGTCGTAGAACAGCAGGAGCCCGTACAGCGCGACACTACCCCGTAATGCGCGTGAGCTTGCGCCACGCACGCACGCACGAAACGCGGATGCGGATGCGGAGGGGGACGTACCTGATGCTGACGAAGTTGATGGCCTCGATGTAGACGCGGGCGTAGCGCGGGTCGAAGCCCTCCGCCTCGCAGAGGACGCCCATCTTCTCGCAGATGATACCTGCTACCGAGCATGCTGCGGGAGCGCGGGCTCATATCAGTCGACACTCCAGCGCGTCGGAGAGTGCATACCTGGTCTTATGATCACGTACTGCAGGACGGACCACTGCGAAAGGACACATCAGTGAACGTGGAAACCACGCGTAGGGAGACGCACTTTGACTGTGTACATGAAGTAGGCCTGTTGATGATGTTTGAGACATTGAAAAAGCAGCAGGGGGAGTACGGGCCCACCTTGGTCGGTCTGTACCGCCAGCAGCAGAACTGTCAAGCAATCCTCAGTATGCAGCCGAGGAGTGATTTATGGACGCACGGGAATAGGAAGAGGGGACTTGTCCTTGCGCTCGATGGCGGCGTGCGCGTCGTGCCCCGACGCAGTGGCTGCGACGTATTCTATGATCAATAACCTGGTCACGGGATAGGGTATTGAGTGTCGAGCGGCGCAGAAGGCGAAACACGACGAACAAGAATGCACTGAGGGTGATGGCCTGATACACGGTGGGACGTTCAACAAGGGCAGCATTCGGCGATCACGGCGTACCTCATAGGCTGTTGATTCGTCCAGGAGCACGCATAGAGCAGGCCACAATGTCGATCAGCTGTGGGTCCGCAGATGCAGAGAGTGAAGCGCACGCACCGATTTCGACCAACGAATAGTATGTGTAACTCCGAAAAAAGCGATATGAAAAGAACGAAATGATTGCGTATATTGCAGGCATGTACAAGATTCGTAGTCTATATGGAGGGTGAACGTTGGGGCTGAAACCACGGTAGCAGAGGATGGGCGGGGCGTACATTTGTCTCTGTTCAGCGGGATTCGTGTAGCTCCTGCAGCGGATCACCCGGTCAGCGGAATTCCGCAGGAGACGAGGCTACGCACCGACAATGCTGGCCGACCGAGAGCGTCGTGATGATCAACGTCTACGAGAGTATCCAGATATTCAGGGTTATATGATAAGGAACACAGTTTAGTGCGCGACTCACCAGGACGGCACATCCGCCAGCAATGGCCCACCCGATCCTGTGCGCCTCCCAGTTGAGGTTTTCACCGTCCCAGAAGTGCGACTGGTCGACGCTGGCAGCATTTTCTGCAGCGCATGTCATGATGTGGTGATGAGCAGGAAGAATAAGACGTCGCGTAAGGTACAGCCTTGAGACACAAGTTGGTGGCACACGTGATCTGTTCGAGGCATTGCCTCCGGGCCAACGATTGCTTTGCCCAAACGATCGCGCCTCGACGCGCCCTCCGACTCAACACCTTGTTAAACTCAACTATGTTCAAACTTCAAATGTTTCGCTCATAGCTCAGCCGCTGCGCAAGAGTCGGGGCGTCCTGCTCAACCCGCAATATGATCGGTGAAGGCGTAAATCGCGTGCTTGTCGTTCAGCTCGGGCTCTTGGGTTCGATTACTTGGCAGCCGGTGCTTGCCTTGCAATCTTGTGGCTCTACCTCTGCCCCTCTGCCCCTCTTTGAACTTGTACTCAACAAGTGTCAGCGACGGAGGAGAGGCTGTTCATAAGTACCTCGGTGTACCGGGGTTACTGGATATGTGGGTATTGGCATAGTGAAAGCTGTCAACCTTTTATATGTATTGCTTGACAAAGTGTCCGTTTTGGGGGCTAGTGAAGTCGAGACATAGGGAAGAGTAAATCCAGGTCAGACCACAAGTTACACAGGTAGATGGCGATGTGAAAAGGCAGGGAGATACATGAAGTAGGATACCACAAAGAGATGATGTACAAGGGGGAGGGCTTGAGCTAAACCTGGCCAAACCTTTGCCTAAGTAATGAGACTGATACACCAACCAATTCGGCGACCTTCCTACGTTTTCCAGGGAGATCATTGGGAACCTCACCTGCATGGCCCGCAATATATGCATTGGCATGCGCCGCAGTGAGGCCTGCAATGACTTGTAACCCGAAGATCAAGGTGGTCGATGTCGCGTAAGTGAGATCTAAGCGAGAAACAAGGATAGCTGTACACAGCTATTCGGCGATGTGGGAAGTACGTCCTGTGCCCTGCGCCTTTCGTCATATTTGCGTGTACTTCCATCACAATCCATGGGGAGACTCACGAAGGAGAATACACGCCGACGCGAGAGCCGTTGCTGAATGAGTTTGACCCTAGACTACAAAAGATATGAGAACCAAATCATTGAGAGTATTGATAACGAATTTAGCCTTGAAAGCTTGGGCCTGAACGTTATCCGCCTATATAAGGATGAATTCGGGGCTATTGCACAAAATGAGTAGCACATAAAATGAGACCTAAAGCGAGACCACGGGGTAGGTAGGTCAATTAGCCACAGGGTGACCTCTGCTCTGAAGAACGTTAATGACAGAGCGGCTTACCTCAAGCTACGCTCGGCTCGGCGGAGCTCTCCTTGACGTCCATGCTACAGGTCGATGGCGAGCTGAATGTGACGTATAGATATTGTTCTATTGCCCTCGACGTGCCGCCTCAACTATCCCTTGTTTTCTTGGGGACTCTCGACTAGAGGCGGGTGGTCTGATACGGAGCCACGAGATACGGAGCCATAGTACACAAGGTACGTTGATGCTATTCGTACATATACGTAGCCTTATGCGAGTGGATAAGGAGAGATTGAGCAGAGATTGAGCAGAGAGGAGAGAATTAGGATTAATTCAGGAGAATGCTTACGATAATTACGAGAGATTGCGGAGTGATTAGGGAAATCCAAGGGGGCCAGGAGACAGAAGCGGTACCAGCGAGAGCGCGAACACGGGAAACAACCGGTGGTGATAGATCTACATGAGGAATGACCGAAGAGGGATTTCGAGGGGCCCTGCCTCGGTTATCTGTTCTTGTTGATTGAATTCAGCGCGATATCGATGCCGCCTAAATACTACACACGAACGGCCGGAGATCTGATATCGTGTCACGATTCCTTCGGAGATCTCGTCGCGTAAGAGGACACGAGAGATAGGAAGCGAGGAACAAAGATGGCCGTACACAGCTATCCAGCCATGCGTCGCGCGTCTATAGCATGCAAGGTCCATAGCTGTACACATATTTTTACCTTCGAACCGTATGGCCCTGGATGGTAATGATATGAGAGTGCCGACGCGTTGGCGTCAAGTTCATAATTAATGTGCCTGCCGCTGATCGGTGCACACGTGCAAGCCACGCAACCAGAGAGTGTCCTATTTACGTCGACTTCCGTAGGACAAGGAGGATGACAATCTATGCGCATAGCGAGCGATGAGCAATGAGGGATGAGTGCTGTTGGCTGAGCTTGGGTGACAAGCGTGGGCTGCGAAGTGTAGTTCTAAGGTGCAATTATGCCGTTGGCAGTGAATCTAGAGTTCTGAAACCTTGAGCTTGCTATTTGCAGACGAATCCGATGAATGGGACGTGGGACCTTGAACAAGAACGCGAACGCGGTGTAGGCAGATTGATTAGCCACTGGTCTACCTTCTCTTCTCTTCATAATGATGCAGCTTACCTGAATCTACGACGCAAAGCCGTATATGTTACCACTGGCTTTAGGGTTTGAACAGCTTTCGTAGCCGTTCATTTCCTTTGGAAGGCTCGCGACTCGACCACGGATCCACAAGGCACGTCTGCGAAAGAATAAGGAGAGACGGGAGGATTAAGGATAATTCAGGAGATAGAAGCAATCACGACTCACGAGAGACACGTTGAAGGAAAGGAAAGATCAAAGAGAAAACGATAGATCCAACGGCGATTAGTTGTTCCAGGTGTTGACTTGACCCTAGTTAGAACTAAATTCGAGGATAGAGATGTCAGTGTCGCGTAAATAGTATATGACAGTGTTATTGATGTCATAGTATTAGTAGGGTATATCATTGACATGATCAATACCCCTACCGCTGACTCCATGGGCGACCTACAGAAGGCCAGTCGAGAGAATCCAACGCCTACGCCCACGCGGGCGGCAAGATGAGAGAGTTGTCGACTGCGCTCAAGTCATGGGTTTCGATTGCGAAGTTCGAGTCCAATTATAACACTGATGGTTATTCGGGAGCCCTGAAACCTTGAGCTTGAGCTTGCTATCCATTCGCACGCGAGAAAGAGAGATAGCACCTAAGACTGGACCTCGAACGCAATTGCGGGGTAGGTTAGTTGATTAAGAGGGGCGCAACGGGCACTGGGCCGCCGTAGGACGCTAATGTGACCTGTTCAGAAGAGCTTGGCTGGATCTACACGCGACTCGACGGTCTACTGCAGTGAAGGCAGAGCTTGAAGGATTACCCTTGACCTTCCGGCTTCAACAGCTTTTGGCCCTTTCGCTATCTTCCGCGCGATCTTTTCCAGAACTCGAGACTCGATGCGGGGGGTCTGATACGGATTCACAAGTCACGGATGCACGTTATGCAAGGCACATTGATGTTACGCACACATACGCAGCCTTATACAAGATATCAGAAAGAGAGATTCAGGGGAGAGGGGAGTATTAGGGATGATTCAGGACAGCACTTACGAAAGTTGCAAAAATATTTGGGAGAACCAGGCAGATATTCAGGAGCGAGGAGAGGACGAGAGAGAGCTACGAGGGAATTAAGGGCCCCTGGAGAGAGAAGCGCGGCTAGCGAGAGGACGAGCACGCGAAGTGGCGGTTGGCGACAGATATAGAAAGCTTGAAGAACGACCATAGTTAGAGGGAGTGAATGGGTCCAGCTAGCGGCGATTGGCTGACGATGGTTGGCGAGAGCCCGAAGAAGCCTGATGGCCTCATTGTGTAATAACTGCTCGGAACGACCGAGCACTTCTCATGATCTCTTATTATATCACGATGATCGTGGCACGATCCAGGATTGATGAACACTAGCCAGAAAAAAGATTTTTGAAGAAATGAGTGAGGTGAGAAACGACAACGCGAAGTCGGAAAGGCGCGAAGCAAGGATTCCCAGGCACAAATATCGAGCCTTGCATGCATCTGTACGAGTAGTGTCAAAATAAGCTGTAAGCCGTGGCGCGAAGTACGAGAGAACGAAAACTCGGAAAAGGCGCCCGGTCCCGTGCTCTGTACGCGCCGACGACTCGTCACTCCGCCCAAACGCAAGCCAGGCCAATGGCCAGGGTGATAAACCAGCCTCTCTTCGAGAGTATGATAGTCGATACTCTTAACCAACCACGCCGGAATCCAATAGTTAGACCCAGATAATAGCTGTACACGTATGTTTGAAGCGTACGCCGTACGGCTGGGAGCTGGGATAGTTGGTGATACATGATGCGTGATGAGGGTGATACTAATCTTCTTCTATCAGGCTGATAGAAGAAGATGGGATCCTGTCGGAGGTTAGGACTGGGTCCCAGGTGGCGGCCGGTGGGGTTCCCCCCCAAAGCATTTCTTTATCCTGCGGTCTGTGAGTGTTTCAACCTCGTATGAACTCTACTCAGCTCGCTCGAGCATACACTCTGCAGTGTCATGACGATTCATGACCGGCCGGGGCTCACCTCCTACCTTCTCCCAACACGAATACAGGAATCCTCAATCAAGGACACACCCACCATACACGTACCACACCCAAGTTGACCGAGTCCGAGGACCAAGAACTCAAAGACTCAAGCTTCAAGAACCCAATCGGAACTCCCCGTGTGCCGCAACGGGGGCGCGAATTTTGAATACAAGAATAGTAAATACAACAAGTCACTCAAAATCTACGGAGTCCTCCCACTCCACACCGCGAGTAAAGCGAGCACTGAGCCGAGCTCGACTAGTATCATTCCGTCCAATTTCCGACTCCGTACGCTTCCCGTCTGGTGATGGTGATGTACACGGCTCACTTACCTTCCCAAGACTTGCTAGCCATCCCACAGTGACGAGCCCTCGCCCTCGAGGCGCCTTGTTCGATGCTTAAAACCTTCGTTATCTGTTATGCGTGGATTTGACCACATGCACTCGCTCCACCCCCGCGCGCCAAATAGCAGCAGCCGACTCGCCGATACCCATGGTCTTCAATCCTCACGCTCTTACCCTGTTCATTCCGGTGCTTTGTGACGAACGGGGAATAAGAACAGCGATAACATGCAGGGATAGCAGCGAATATCGAAGAAGAGCGGGGAATGACGGGGAATAACACGGCCTTTGAAGATTGGGTGGCCTGCTATGGACGCCGTCAGCAAGCCGTCATCGATTCATCGGTGGTTCACCGATCGCTAGTCCGACGGCGGTTCGCTTGGTTCTCCTTGGTGTGGTACCGCGAGTCAATATAAACGTCAATGACAGTTGCTTGACCGTCATCGTTCGCAGGTCGTGGCTATCGCGGGTGTGAGGCAGTGCAAACGACGCCGCCTCCAGCCGCCTCCCTGTCTCCCTGCCTTCCTGCCGAATGCCGAAGAGAGAGAGAGTTGAGAAGAAACCAGAGAAATTCAAGAGAGCCGTGACATGCATGATGCCGCCCGTCGGACTTGATGTCATGCTTACGGTATGTTCCAGTTCTAGTACACCTGCCTTTATTCTGCGTTAAGGATCCTCAACGCTTGGAGCGTTTGCTCTGACTTTTAAATCTCGATCAGAACATAAGTTCCAAGTTCCAAAACCGTTGAGCGACCTCGCCGTCATCAAGCCGTTTCGCGCGCGTGGTCAACGCTTGACTTACTTGGTATCCCTTGGTCCTCGCCGTGAATCAACATCAATCGACCGTCACCCTCGCGGGGTCCAAACGACACGTCTTCCTGCTAACTGCCGAGGAGAATCAGGAGAATCAAGAGCGAAAATTTGCAGGAGACCCATACCCATACCCTTCTGCGCCATGCGTATGCACGTGTACGGTATGGCCTTATTCTGCGTTAAGCATCCGTGGAGCGTTTCCTGATCTCTTGATCATAGGTGCCGTGGCGCGCACAACACAGGCGATCGAGCACCAGGACCACGGTGGAAGTAAACGAGCTCGATCGCTTTATTATATGTTACTTCCCCCTTACTTCCCCCGTGGACCACGCGAGATGCCAACATGTCGGGATCTGGGGTACTTAAGGCACATTGACTGTCATTAAGACATGCTAAAACGTGCACCCTATATAACATATATGGATACTTCCTTGAACATAAGCGGTAAGTGTTGGGTCAGTCAGGTACGCGACGTCGAATGGTACAATAGGGCTCAGCGCCCAGGCACCGTGTCCACCGCTTGACTGATCTGCATTGAATTTGCTGGTTTGTAGGACATAGGTACGCTGTTTGACGGGCGACAGAAAGGACGGAAGCATGGACGGACGGAATGGATAGATGGAATAGTGAAGTAAATGGAATTCATTTCGGAGGCTTTGAAAATGATGATCATTGTAATCGGAAACAAATTGAGCATTTCGGCCTCAGGACTCAGGTCTGAGTTATTAGTGAGCGGGCATGACTATCGAAATGGAAATACTATTATGCTGGTAGTATTCGGAAAGTCAGCAGCAAATGGTGCCTTGATCAGAAGGTATCTGTGAGTAGTAGCCCCTGTTCGCTTCCCTATCCCCTATACGCTCCTATCCTCTGCTTAACTCTCTTCATCTGCGTGGTAGTACATGCTGATTGCGTCTACACCTTCTACACCTCAGCTCCTACGAGTACGGTATTACATACGACATGCCACTAAAGTCTTTTCACCTGTTCTCCCTTAGATCGTCCGAGTCGCGGGGCCTCAGATTGCGTGCCTGGCTGTTAACATCATGACGCGTCCGCAGGTTCTGAAGCACGCAGAATGGTGTCTCTCAATCACAATATGTCGAAAAACAAAGCAAGAACGTGGCATACCAAGAGCGCAGAACCACCACCGAAATACGAAATACAACGCGCGTCCCGCGTGACGCTGATTCTGATTTCTGAGAACGCGAGCACCGATCGATATCGAAGGCTGACTAGCGACTTCCTACATCATTATGGAATATGGAATGACGGTAAGTCACCGTCGGTGCCTTGATCCATAATGCATAATGCATGATCTTTGGTCACTCTTCTACGTATACGTGACTTTTCATATGTGGGGAAGCTAAGACGTGCCATCATCCGGAACAGAAAAATACTCGAGAACGGAGGAGGAAGCATCAAGAGAACAGCTCGTGTGATACCGAGCCGTCATGATGACGGCCTCGCCATATCGAATTTGTTCCTGGAGAAGCTGTAGAGTAACGTGGAGGGTCTCGAGAAGCGCATGGCCCGAAGTGCTGGGCTCAAGGAATCAAGGAATAAGAATGGGGATAAGTATGGGGGTAGAGACAGAAAATATAATATTCCATAAACATAAACACGAGTGATACCAATAAACAGCGAGAGGTTGGGTATGCGTGCCAGTGACTCTTGTATATGTAGCAAGCAAACGCAGGAAGTTGAACAAATTTCGATAACAATAATTGGATGACGGAAAAGATACAGTAAACAAGCGAAAGGGGCAACGGGAAAGACGAATAGATACAGTAAATAGGCAAACAGACAAACGGATAGCTTGTACGGACGTGGAGTCAAAATTGGGCGAAGGAGTAAACGAAGGAGCGGCGGATATTTAAATAAGGAAGAAGACAGTGCAGACAACGATTGAAAGTGGAGAAGGAGAAGAAAGAAGCGAAGTGGATTATAATACAGAGCTATAGAGTATACACGGGATCGAGAAAAACGAGAAAAATATCTGCATCGACGACGAGGAACAGGAACGAGTACAAGCAAGAAGACACATAGAACGAATGTAGATGGAAGCGAGTGAAGAGTCCTAGATACTTAATAAAACGAACCGTAACGAGCGTGTTTAGTGTTTAGTGCATATGTTAGTCTGAGTTGCGTTGGACTGAACTGGATTGGACTGAGTTGGATCGTAACGACGCGTAGACAGCGAGGAGAGAGACGAAAGGGGACGACGACGGAAAAGAAGGGAGGGAAGGTGGAGAAGGAGGGGATAGGAAGGCGGGGAGTCGGGACGGGTCGACGATGGTGATCGATGACGTCACAGTTCGGGAGGCGGGACGGGGAGGCGGCTTTCTTCCGATGATACGAATCGTTACGACGACAGCGAGGAGGCTACTGCTGCACGGTCAACTCAACCGACCATCGCGCTGCAGAAATATGGAATGTGCTCACCAAGTCCAGTCCAAATCCAAGTCCCATTGACGACGCCGGAGCTTAAGTGGTGAACCTCCTGACGTTGCTCGGCCTGCGCTGTCTGCCACAGATGCCCTCCCATTCCTGGAGGGCCCTGACGAAGCCAGAGTTCGGCTTGATGCAGGCGCGTTTGCGCTTGAGGAGGGCGTGCGCTGCGTCGTAGGTCATGCCGAGGTTGCGGATGAGGTACGCTATGGCGATGGCCGGGGAGCGGGATACGCCCTATAGATATAGATGTCGGTGTGGGTATGGAGGTGGAGGAAAGATACGATCACGAACCTGCTGACAGTGTATCAAGACATTCCGCCCGCTCCTCAACGCCGCCTCGATATGCTCACAAACGGCCTCTAGGTGCGGTCGCAGATCCACGCTCGAAGCATCGAGGATCTGGATGCGATAGCAGTTGAACCCGTCCTTCTCAGAGAGGGGGATCCACGGGGCATCGAGGACCTGGACGAGGTGGGTGATGTGGTGCGCGAGGAGATAGTCTTTGTCAGACAGCGCGGAGATGGAGCCGACGTAGAGTGCGCCGGTCGTCGCCGCCGACGATCCCGACGGGGAGGGAGAGGGCGCAGGGGGGAGGATCTGGTGCATCGGGGTGCACATAGCCTGCATGACCTCGGGAGGGAGAGTGTCGAAGCGAATCATGGCGAAGGTGAAGGCGGGGTACAGGGACGGAGACAGGCACGGTTGCAGATATAGCACCAATCAGCAAGACGCAAGTCGGCACTAACCAAGCTCGTCTCGCAAACGCTATTAAATAGGCCCCCGTCCCCCGGCTTTGGAGCGAGGATACATATCCATTATGCATTATTTATGATTTATGATTTGTGTGGAGTTTTGGGTGTGGCTGTTGATCATGGTTTAGCGCCCGCCGGGGAGAAGCACCCTTTCGTGAGTTCTGGAGTCTCGATGCGCGTAAACGCTAAGCGAGAGTGTCCGAGTCCTCGAATCACGACCCGCTGGGAGAGCAAGGCACGCCAAGGGGGCACCCTCCATCAGGGCCTAGACCCGAGTCCTTTCGTGCGCTGTTGGAGCGGCACGGAATCGCTAACACGCTACTATACTCCTGTCATCTCAGCTCCTGTCACCCTCCCAGCCAGTTCATGCCAGTGTGCCCAGCGCTGATTGGCCCGTCGCGAAAATAATACAAGGACAAGGGCAGGAAGCAGGCGGGAATTCGAAGGCCAGCGAGGAAGCGCTAGTGCGCTTTCTTTCTTTTTCTTGGGAGCTTGAAACGCTCGACGTTGACGTTTAGAGTACAAGGGGATCATTATGCATTAATCAATGTCTGTTGACTCCGAGCCTCGGCGGGTGCGGTATAACGTCAGCCATTGGCCAAGTAGCTCCGTCGGGGCACCGGGACTTCGATCCTTCTTCCCCTCTTCCAGAACAATGCTCATGAGATTGCTCTCCGAGATACTGACCACCGATGCATGGCTCATGGACCGCGGTGACAATCTTTAGGAGCCTTCCAGCTTCTCCCAAAGACCCACTGGCAACCTCCGTGTCCCAGGACGTTGGCAGGATCCCATCTTCCATCAGTGGCGTGCGCCTTCACACTCTCATCATGGAACATGTATCACTAAATCACCATTCAGCATCTAGCCCAGGTCCCAGCCGTACGGAGTACGCTTCAAAAATATGTGCTAACTATCATCTAGGTCTAAAGAAGCTATAGATGTCTATAGTAGGGATGAGTGGATGCTGCGTTCGGCAATGCTTGCCCAAATCCGTGTCTCCGGCTTCACGTTTCGCGTTTCTCATTTATCACTCACTCGTTCCTTCCGAAGGATATCTTCTTTTCCTTTTTCTGGTGAGCGCCGGTAAATCATGATATGATATCAGCCATTCGGGCTATGACATTCGCTCGGCCGTTTGCGTGTGCTCTTACTCTTACGCGGCGACAACATCGGGATGTCGCTTGCTCGAGCTCTCGAGCAGTCCAATCAACGTCAACAGCCAATGGCCACTGGCTGGACCTCTTTTCTCCCTCTGCTGTACGGTCGTTCCTCTGTTCGCTCGACGATCTCGCCCCTGTCGCCCCTGTCGCACTCCGTGCTACCTCGCTGGCAGCGCTTCCATACTCTCTCCTTAATTTCAGCCACACTAGCGTTGTCGTTGATGTTGAATGTATGGCTCGAGTTCTCAGATCCCAGCCACGATGTCACTTCACAGACACAGGCACTCCGACCCCGGAACAAAGGATAACGAGAGGTGGAAGCCGATGGGAGCTGTAAAGGCCGAGGGTAATCATACAAGGCCGCTACGTGCGCCTGCAGTTGTGCCGAGCGCCGAGCGCCGAGCAGAGCACAGCTGCATCGAAGGGGATGCAGATTACAGATTCTGATCAACGAAAATCAATTCAGATCTTACTTCTATCATGATATCACCAGCAAACCGCCGATGGACGTTCACTCTCCTTCTTTCTTCTATGGTCGTTCCTTTACCATCTCGTCACCGCATCTCCCGTTGGCACCGCTTCTGTCGCCTGGAGCCCTTAATTCGCCCTAATTTCTGCTCATTCTACCTACCGTCTCGTAAGTGCTCTCCATAATCCTCTCCTCTTTCCCCTTAATACCTACTCATTCTCTCGTGCTGACTCTCGTAACTCTCGTCAGCCCCCTCCTGAATTATGCCTGATCCCCTCCTCACCTTCGATCTCTCTTGATCTCTCTCCAATCTCCGAAATCTCCTGATCTCTGGCATATGGCTATGTATAAGGTGGCGTACACGTACGCGTACCATCAAGGTACTCTGTACAACGTGGACCCGCGTCAGACACGCGTGGCGCGTTGACGCGAGTCCAACGCGCAAGTCCTTGAAAGGAACCTTCAAAAAGCAAAGCAAAGGAACGTCGATGGGATACGGAAGCTTACGAAGGCCGAGAATCATGCCTCTAGCTTTGGATCGAGCCGAGCGTAGACGTCGAGGAGGTTCACAAAGGATTCAGATATTGATTCTGGATTCAGGTAAGCTCCGTGCCCCAGGTCTTAGCAAGCCTAAGCCTAAGCTGTCAGGACGCGTCGATCGAGCTCAGTTAGTCAAACAGTAAAATGATCTTGCCGTTGCCTTCGTATACGTCGCCTTACAGATGGATGTGTAAATAGGGCGCTGCGCTTTTGCTCGTAGCACGCGGGCACCAGTCTGTGGTAGGCACATCAACTTCGAATTCCACGTTAATGCGTCCATCGTTTCTTACCATCATTGCACAGGGCCCATATAGCTCCAAGACGAACATATGGATGCGTGTGCAAAATCGAATAAGTGCACCGCAAAGGCTTATCGGCTGTGGATGCCATAAACGCGCGACGCGTGGTTGGCTTGCTGTGTACGGCTGCCTTTGTCTTTCGCTTCCTATATTTCAATATTCATTCATTCATTTTTACTCACGAGATCAACAGCGATATCAGATATGTGTTAGAAGCCGAACACGGCCGTCTACCATAAATATGTACCCGATAGCACGATCTTCGGGCAATCGAATCAGCATCAACAGCTAGAAGTTGAACGAGAAGCCGATCGTGAGTATCGCAGCCCCTCCCGGCGCGTCGAACCTCCGTTACGGTCGCTCAGGCTTTCTATGTCGACCTCTCCTCAGGCCGTTGTCTCGTAAGTGCTCTCGTAACTCCCCTGAATTATGCCTAATCCTCTCGTCTCTCCTCAATCTCCATCTAATCTCTTGTATAAGGCTAACAACGTATGCGTATCATCAACGTACCTCGTGCGATGTGCAACTGCATCAGACCAGCGCCACGCGTGGCGCGTCGATTCTCGAAGGGAAGGCAAGGGATAAAGGAATGGAACACGGCGAGGGTGATACTTCAAGCTTTACATCGAGCATCGGGTCGGACGTAGATTCAGGTACACTTCTTCGAATGTTAGCATTATCCGGTGAGTCCGTCACCGGCTGGCCAGTTTGTACTACTCTCGATCGATCTCCTCCTCGTTCGAGTCGAGGTCTTATCTTAGGGCTTGACCTTGGGTACTATCGATAATTGTGGGTATACGGCGGGCCCAAGTTCAAGCTTTCTTGACTACAGATTCTGGGTCGCGATCCAACATCAAACATGATATTCACCGACCGTCTGGCTTGCACTATTTACACGACGCTGACATCTCTGTGCATTCGCGGCTTCAGTTCCAATCAACAGTCCGTCAAAAAAAGCAGCTAAAACAAATCATCAGATGCGCCACCGGACCTATGGGTATTCCCCTCTATCATTGTGATGTCTCGTTTCTTGTGCGTGATTGCTTCTCTCTCCTTAATCTCTTCTTACCCGCCCCTGAATTCACCCCAATCCTCGCCTTACTCTCTCGTATCGTAAACGTGTCTTGATCTACATCATAACCCAGCGCCGAGGCTATAGAAAACAAGGATGATGGGAGGACAATGCAAGCCGATTTTGAAAGATTTTTCAAGCCGAGGGTAATACTTCTAGCTTTTGCACGAAGTCGGCGTAGATTCAGGTAAGCTCCGTCAACAACATCTCAGGATTCGCGCAAATGGCAAGCTCAAGCTCATAAGACTCCAGATTCACTATCAACGGTATAATTGTACTCGTGCTTATGCTATACTTATTCTTCACAGTCCAACTCGTCACTCGAGCGGTCGGCAGTAAAAAATTACGCTCATCGCTCGCCATTCCTGCTCGCGTGGATGCTGGATTCTTGCAAAGCCCTGACGGAAGTGAATCATATGGCATAGTGCCGGGGTAGGCACATTAATTCAACGTTAACGAGACGACCTCTCTTACCACTACCATCCAGGTCCCACCCATAAGGTTCAAAGACAAAAATATGCGTACAGCTATGGACCTATAGGCTATAGCGCTGATGCCATAAATACATCACACATGGTTGAAGAGCTGTGTACGGTAAGCTTTGTTTTTTCGCAACATCGACGGGAGAACCGTGATATCGTTCGGCCATCTGCATGTGTATTGGCACGGCATCGATATTGCGTTCTGGATGTCGCATTCTCTGGCAATCCAATCCGTCCAACGTAGGCTGTTCAATGCGCGGCGCTTAGAATAGACCCCAATGGACGCTGGGTCTCTCTTTATAGTTAGTGCCTTCTGTCATCATGATGTCTGATAGCTTCTGTCCGCTGGAACCCTGGATTCTGCACAAATCCTGTCAGCCCTCTCGTAAGCCCTCTCGTAAGCCCTCTCCTTAATTATTCCTAATCCTCTCTTCTCTCCCCAATCACTCTCTAATCTCTCCAATATATCAGGTATAAGGCTCCATGTAGAGCTGCGTTCGAGTACCACCAACATACTCGCGCAATGTGGGTCAGTGTCTCATGGATCTGTATCAGACCACCCATATCGAGTTCCGGCTTATCCTTCAGAAAACAAGGGATAACGCGAGGGCAGCGAAAGGGGAGCGGCAAGAACAACAGTTGAAGCCGGAAGGCCGAGGGTGATACTTCAAGCTTTGTGCCCTCGCGGCGTCGGATTCGAGTCGGGCGTAGACTCAGGCAAGCTCCCTCATCATCGTTCTCCGGCGTTTACACGTCTGTTTGATCAGTTCACCTATCTCACCCCCCCCCCGGGTCTCGTCTGGGGTTCTTTGTATACCCAAACGACAAGCTCAAGCTGTCGGGACTCGTACTCCAGATTTGATGTCACTATCAATGATATACTTACACGTTGCCATCCAGACCCGCCACTCGAGCGCAGCACGTCAATCGTTCTCCCGCTCCTCGCATGGGCGCGGCCAAAGGGGTCGCGACGGAAGTAAATTGCATAAAAGATTCCGGGGTAGGAAACCATATTCACGTAGGTACCTGAATTCAACGTCAACCCTCTCTGACCATTAAGTACCTATTATCAACCGGATCAGCCACTAGGCCCATACGGGTCAAAGATAAAAATATGTGTACAGCTATGGGCTACAGGCTATAATATTCATCCATGGCTGAATAGCTGTGCACGGCTGACCTTGTTTTTCATTTATTCTTATGAGATCAGTGGAGGCATCGTGACAATCCGATGTCCAATCATCAGCATCCAGAGCAACCAATCGCCGCTGGACCTCTTCCTTCGGGTATTCCTTTCTTCCCCTCTCAGCGTGTCGCCTCCTTAGTTCTCGTAAGTCCTCTCCTTAATTATCCCCAATCTTTTCCTCTCTGGTTAATCTCGCTTCAATCTTTCATATAAGGCTGTGTACACGTACGCACTTGTACAATGCGAATCCGAATCGGACCACCCACTCCATCCCCGCATACCAAGGATAACGCTCATGGGAGTGGCAAGGAAAGCGGCATCAGACATCCTGAAGCTCGAGGATGATGCATGAAGCGTGGAGGTCGAGGCCGAACGCGAGCACGCAGATCCATGTAAGCTCCGTCATCCCTTCATTAATATCCTCCGGGGAGGAGGCCGCCCGGTGGCTATTAATCTAATACCTACCCCGCTTTCGCGTGGGGAGGTCTTAAGTACCACTACGCACGATTCCCCAAGAGTGTTATACGAATCAAGCTCAAGCTTAAGCACTCAAGACTCCAGATTTACTATCGATGATATAATTGGACTTAAACTTCCAGTCCAGGCCCAAGCATAGTCAGTCAACAATGTGCACGACTCACGTCGGCGTGAATTCTCCTTGTAAGTCTTATCCTCATGAGTTGTGAGAATCCGTGTCAGACCACATGCGTTAAGTCTCGATTTCCATAAACCAACCACAATACTCACGGGAGTGGCAAGAAACGCGTCAAAGACACCCTTCACGCTCTGAATGGCATCGTTGATCGCAAGTGTCGATGTCTCCCACGAGACAGGATCGAAGCGGATAGGGATTCCAGTCCCACTGCAGTATGCTCAACAGATACTTGTCAAAACGATCGAGTGGATGGAAGTCAAGGCAAACGCGAGCACGCTCCGTCACACCATCAATAAGTAACGTCCTCAGGGGAGGAGGTCATCTGGTGGCTGGTTTCGCTATCAATCACATAATTGGACTCAGACCTTCAGTAAAGATGACACCGCCAAGTGTGCAGTCATTTGCAAAAAAAACTGTATAACGTTGATATAGGATACAACACCAAGTTAGAAATTATTGATCCGAATCAAAATACTCCATGATCTCTTTAGGCAGACAATCCCCGTCGGTCTTGCACTCATAAACCCCCAACACTCCCGCTTCCGAAACTAGGCTCACCCGGGCATTCCCTCCCCTCTTGACCAACAGATCCTGCCAGCACCCACCTCAGCGCCTTCAGCTTCGGCTGCTCGGAAGCCCTCACCCTCTCCATCGCCGCCGACCGCAGGTTCTGCCGCACAAGGGTGGTGAACGTTCCCCGCTGATGGATCCCGATGAAGCAGTGGAGCGTCTGCGAGACGTAGAGCTGCCCGTGCAGCTCCGACCAATTTATCATGTCGAAGTTGCGCTGGGAGCGGGTCTTCATCTCGAGGATGGAGGACTGGGGGACCGACCACGATCCGCCTGGGTAGACGGTGAGCCCGGCGTGTAGCACGGGTTCGGCTTTGGGTTTGAATTCGGGGGGTGTAGACTCTGGGGTGGCCGCAGTGAACTTGACGCTGGCGGGGGTATCTGGGAGGTTGTTGACGGCAGTGGGGGCAGTGGCGGACGCAGCTTGGCGCCAGGAATGCGTGTATGGACTGGTATCAGGCAGGTACCCGTCAACTTCATACCGCACGATCATCTTCAGTCCGTTCATGTCCTTCACAAATTGTCAGCCAATCAGTAATTGGCACTAATCATAAAATAGAAAAACAGTGTGGCACCCTCAATCTCCACTCACGTATCTGATGATCCGGTGATGACTCACACCGCCTTCGCACTGCGCGGCGGGTTTCGTGCACGCCTTCTCGAAACTGTGGCCGAAGCCATACGCAGCCTTCTCCCGCACGTTCGTCGTATAGCGAGACATTAAAATGGTTTTCTTGCCTGCCAGCTGCACGTCAATCCGGAAATCCGAGTCTGGGGAGTTGTTGATCCAGCGGAGGAGCTTGCGTAGGTTGTTGCGGTCGGTTATGAAGTCGTTGGAGGGCCGGTCAAAGTGGGGTGGACTAGCGCCAGAGGGGGAATTGTGAGAGGAAGCGGTATCAAGGCTGGATTTTACGTTCACGGCAACAAAGAGGGGAAGGAGGGGTGTATCTGGGACACGGTAGGCATTTTGGTCTGCGACAACGATGCCGGTATCATGCCCAAGGGTGAAAGGTGTCTTCTTATCTACCCATTCATTCGGGGATCCTGGAGGTCGACATTAGATGTTCGGCCCTAGAAACAAACGATGGAGCACACCTGGGATGATAAGGCTAGGTGATTTACGATCCAGCCAGTTGTATGATCCTATATATTCTATGTTTGTGACCTGACTTTGGATTCGTTGGTGGTGATAGAGGGCGCGGGCCTGTCGATGGTTTGCACGCGCTCCAGGAGTCCATCCTGGATGCTTCGGGGGATGGGTAAGGGCATTTAGTGGTCTGATATTATGAGCAGGGCAACACTGTTATTGTCGGTGGAAGAGGGAAAGGGTGTTGTGGGCTGGGGTCTTGTGGGGAGAAAGGCTATTTAAATGGGGCTCACTCGTCCGCGGCATGATGCCCCCGTTGGGTACGCAAAAGGCTGGGCCGTTGCGACGAGGAAATGCATAGCCAATTTCCACTTCCTCGATACAATCGACAATCGAGCAAGTGGCGACTCGGAAGTCTTCGGGCTCTATGACCACGAGGCTGCGGATCACACTGCGAAGCTAGTAGACGAGGTGCAGGAGGTAGCTATGTAGAAGACACACCTACAGGCACAGTACTATCCCTTTCGCGTACGCTGGAGGAGCAAAGGAGCAACGATCACGGTGATTGGTTGCTTTCATTTCATCTAACCAACCTGCGGATGGGCAGGGCGTTTACTGAGTAGTTCGGAAAAGTTGTCTTGATGCGAAACTGCCAGTGGATTATCAGAGCATGCCACGCGATGCGAGGGATTCAGGCCTTGAGCGAGGGCTTAACTGTGTTGGTCCAAAGTCACTTGAAGAGGGGGACCAGGGTGTACAACAGAAAGCAAAACAAATTTAGCAAAGCAAAGCGATAGCGCGATACTGTACAAGATAGCAAAAACATCCGGCGAAGGTAGGAAAAGTGGTATGGTGCACGACGGAGCGGAAGCCAGGGGAGAACTCCGAAATTCGAAAGCAATATTGGTCCAGATGGCAAATGACATGCGTGGTGGTACGAATGACGCTGAGGGACGAGGAACGAGACGTGGTAATACAAACGTTCGAATATCCATGGCGGCGAAAGTGTGGGGGAGTGATACAATGTATCATAGTACGCAGGCAACTGGGCGATAGCGTTGGTTGACGATTCCCGAGCGGTGGTGGATATGGATATTGAATGTTGAATATTGAACGATGGATGATGGATGAGTTGATTACTGCCCAGTGCTGGAGCTCGGAGGCCTGAGGCGAGTCACTGCAAACTTGAATTTGGGAGGCCGTCGCTGTCTAGATGACCTCCTACCAACTCCATCCTTTACTGGCGTCGCGACCCCAGTGCTCTATATCATCATCACCATCCCACGCACACCCCCGATCCTCTGATAGTACTCCTCCACCTCCACCCCACCCCAACCCCGATCGTGATTGGGGCGGTTCGTCCCATCCCGCCCACACATCTGGTTCGGGGTCCCAAGCCCATACCGATCCCAAACCCAGTGGCGGTCCTGGTTCGGGGTCCCAAGTCCATACCGATCCCAAACCCAGTGGCGGTCCGGGTTCGGGCCTGCCCCATGCGCAGGCCAATCGAGGCTGCGCGTCCGGTTTCTTGTTCTTGATATTCTTCTTACCCTTCTTACCCTTCTTATTCTTGTTCTTATCCTGAGTCTTGTTCGCATTCAGCCCGCCACCACCCCGCGCCAACTCCACTGGGGATTGCGGGTCATGTTGTTCCTCCGAGCCTAATTTCCGTTTCTTCTTATTCGTGTTTGTGTTCGGCGCTGCAGCTGAGCTTATGGCTTTCTCCCACTCCCGCTCGTGGAGACGGAAGATGGCCATCGTGGCGCGAGCATCAGTGACCTATCACAGGCATCACCGTAGTCAGTTCGACTCGAGAGTCTAAGCCCGACGGCTCAGATGAGCGTGACTCACAGAGGAATGCTCCCCGTCCTGGATTGTTAGCCCGAGTTCCTGTTTGACGAGATGCCGAAGAGCGATGCATTCGACCTTGGCTACTTTGAATTTCCATGCATAGGATTGCGTGTCCAGAGTCTGGGCTGGTGGGTGTTCGAGGGATAGCGCCTGGAAGAAAGGTCAGGAGAACGCAAAGACGACAGCTTGAAGCAAGGACGCACCTTCAAGTCGTTGAACACAGCATGCCCGAGTAAAACCCTGTCCTTCAATAGGCTCGCAACCCGGCTCTGAATCTCGTCGAACGATTTGGCTGGAACGGTCACAATTACTGATCAGCGCGTGTCCACATACAAATGAAGGACATAAGCCATACCATTGACGAGATCGCGTTGGCGTACACCGCTATGTTTCGTGCGGTAATCAACGACGCGCTCTTTCTGCCGCACAAACTCGTCCAGCTGCACCGCGCCGTGATAGTTGATTACGCTGACCCGCGCCACCGACGATCGCTTGCCCCTGGGCCCAACGCCGACCATCTCGCAGTCGAGAGCAAGATACTTGCTCGGTCTGCGATCGCCGATTTGCGCTTCAGAAGTTAACGACGAACACTGTGCATGCTCACTGTCTCTCTTTGTATGAGTACGATACGTTTCCCTCCACCATGGCTTGCAATGTAGACTTCAAATTCCTGGAAGGCTGTATCGGAGCAGGCGGTCCATCTGGATCTACTGGATTAGGTACTGTGGAATCCAGAGGGATACGGCTCGGTCCAGCTTCAGGTAGTGCCGGTAGAGCTTGAGATCCATCATCGTCTGTGCTGTTTTGCCCTTTACGCTTAAGAAATTTGGGTTCCACTTGTTCGTCCTCGCGATCCTTGTGCTTTGCAGGCTTCGTAATGAGTGGTCAATGGATCCAGCCACCCGCCGTCCCATTACCCATATCATACCTTCTTGGGGGATACCCGATGCGATGGCGATTTGTTCTTACAGCGATTTTTGGGCATGATCGATGGCTGGAGGGAAGTCGTAACCGTGTGAGCATGTTTTCACAATCAGTTCACGTAACTTTCCGCGACTTGAAGATAGAGCGCTTCTCCGTCACGGTCGTTGACGAATCCATGTATAATATACCTCCCTCCTACGGGCCCCAAATTGTCGCTTCGAAAGGAGGAGGGCCATGCCAACGCGTGCTCGATCCTGGTGTCCATGTTGTCTTGCACGAGATGTACTCCATGACGAGGTACGATGTCTCTTTTACATAGCTGTATGAGGATGCGCTCGTCTTCCTTTGTAAAAGATACCATTTCCGCGAGTCAGGCTAGCAAATTCGCAGTGACCAGACGCTTTGGCATAATTGCTCCTGTCCTCGTTATTGTGATATCGAGCAATGAATGGAGCTGGAAGGCAGAACTGTACAGGGCATAGCAGGAACGTCCAGGACGACATGCGTAAAGGTATCAAGGATACAAGGCGGCAGAGTAATAGTGCAAGTGGGCAACAGAAAGCAAAAGAAAAGCGACCAAAAATGTCCTGTGGAGGGAGCAAATGTACGACGTATAGATCAATGTTCACATACAGAACGATAGGGGGGACCAGGAACAAGGATACTGTACAAGATAGCAAAATGTGTGTGGTAGTACAAACGAGGTGATCAAACGTCGGCAGAGTACCGCAGTCGAGCATGGACTTGGTAGACCGCAGCAAGTAGACGTCAGATACTGCTGGCAATTTCCTACCAACCCCACTCGTCGCAATACCGCTCCCAGTCCACTGTCTGCAGTTTCCGCTTACTCTTGTTCCGACGCTTCCTCGACGCCGCAGCGGCGCGCAAGTACCTCCCCCACTTCCGCTGGTGGAGACGGAAGACGGCCATCGCCGCGCGCGCGTCGGTAACCTGCAACCGGCATCGCCATCATCAGCTTAGAGAGCCCCCAGTCCCAGTCGACGGGCCAGCTCACAGAAGAATGCGCCCCGCTGCCCATCGTGAACCCGAGTTCCTGCGTTACGAGATCCCGGAGGGCAATGTGTTTGGCCGTAGAGACTTTGTGGCGCCATGCGCAGAATTGTGTATCCAGGGTCTGGGTTTGCGGGTGTTCGAGGGATAGCGCCTAGAAGAGAGGTTAATTGAGAGCAAGGATGGCGGGGCGAAGTAAGGGCGCACTTTCAAGTCATTAAGAACAGCATGCCCGACGACGACGTTGTCCCTCAACAGCTTTGCTACCTGGCTCTGGATCTCGTCGAACGATTTAGCTGAAACGGTCACAATCAGCGTCAATCCAATTAGTACAGCGCCAGGTGACGCAGGTTATTTCGAGTACGATCTTTTCAATCTTTTTCCTCCCAACAAGAAGTTGCTCGAAACGACAGAACTAGCCCGACAGCCTAGGGGCGGAGGAAGTAAATCATACCTTTGACCAAGTCGCGTCTGCTTATACCGCTATGTCGAGCGCGATAACCAACGACGCGCTCCCGAACGAGCTCGTCCAGCAGCACCGCGCCGTAGTAGTTGACTATGCTGACCCGCGCCACCAACGGCTGTGCGCCCTTGGCCCCAACGCTGACCATCTCGCAGTCGAGAGCAAGATACTTGGTGAACCTGTGACTCGGATTTCTGATTAGCGCTGCAGACCAATGGCCAAGGCCATCTGTACTCACAGTTTCTCTTTGTACCGGTACGATATGTTTCCCTCGACCATGGCCTGTAATGTAGACTTCAAACTCTCCGCGCCCTTTGGAGCCTTTGGAGAAGGATTGATCGGAGCAGGCAGTGGGGAATTTACTCGTCCATGTGGATCTATTTCATCGGCTGATGTGGGAGCAAGAGGGATACGACTCGGACCAGCCTCAGGCGGTGCTAGTAGGGGTCGATGTCCATCATCGTCTACAGTCTTTCGGCATTTGCGGCGCTTGGGAAACTTGGGTTCGACTTGGTCGTCCTCGCGATCCTTGCGCTTCTTGCGCTTGTCAGGCTTTGTGGTGAGCGGTCAGTGGATCCAGCCATCCACCATGTCGTCGTGCATATCATACCTTGTTGGGATGCGGAGACGATGATGTCTTGAGGCGCATGGTTGACGGTTGGCAGGAAGGTGTAACTGTGCGAATATAATTTCCCGCGCTCACTGCGTTTTTGCACAATCTTCTTTAATCCAATCACTCGGCCAGCCGCGCCACTCGGTGCTCCCATGTACACCTACGGCTTCAAAGCCATTATAATAATGCAAGCACCATTCTCCTTGCGCTTTCCGATACCACACGTCCCTCAGTTTCGTTAATAGGATGCGTCGTTCAGTTCAGTCTTGCCATCCACGCAACATCCATGTACAGAAGGTTGCTCGCTTTATTATTCGCTTCTTGACCTTATCGAGGAATCCATAAACCTGCAGGGGTCCACGAGTACGGCGGAGGCGCTGCAATCGTCTACGACAATATCGCCTATTTCTCCCACTGCGGCGATGGCAGGGTGTACAGCGTCGACGTCAAAACGGACATCTAATCAACCTGCTTCATATGTATAGATGGCAATAACCTTCATCGGTTTGCCGATTGCGACGTTCATCCCAAGATTTCTGGACCCGTGGCGGCGATTATGGAGGACCACACTAACGATCCTACCAGCTCAGCCCGTCGCAAGTAGTGAACACTCTGCATCATCGACACCGCGGCGCAGCCCGTCAGCCTTTGGTTTCTGGCACCGACTTCTACATCGAAGACCAGTGTCGCCGTTCCATCCTGGGTCAACAACGACGCCCTGCCGTTCACCAGTGCTCAATCCGGATATTCAAACCCTCACAAGTACGCTGGTGGCCAACCTACGCCGGTGTTCCGCAAACCACCCCTTGCCCAGGACTGCAGCCAGCCGGCTGCACACTAGGCTGGTCGCCATATGCCCCTATCGACGAGACCGGACGCAATGCGCATACTATAAACCAATTTCAACACGACCATCACATTGGTTGGAAGACGGATGCACTCGGGACTCACATGTATTGAGGCTGAACACCCAAATATCGTTGAAGAACACCCCACTGGCCTGGCCTCCAAACACAAAGGACGACGCGCCGATCGAGGCAGCAGCGTGCCCATACCGCGCACCGGGGGCAAGGCCGTGGACGGTAGCTTGTGTCCATGCATGAGATACTGCCCAGAAGATCTACGAAACGCCCATCATCGTCGACCAGAGTTCCAGAGCGACGAAGATCAAGGATTGTTTCGCACCTAGATTGGGGAGGTACACCCCATCGTTCAGCATTTCTGGATATGATGTTGGTGCTGAAGACGCTGGTAGTTTTGATTGTGACTGTGCTTCCGGAGTCTGCTCGGTATTGATGTGCGTCAGGCAATTGTGTGATCAATCGACCACATCGGTGGGGCTTGATCGTTGCGAGTACAACGTCCCACTTCAACTCGGGGACACATGATGACCCATTGCTAGTGATCGCGCTCCACGTTCCATAATATGCCTATGCGTGATCATGATGCTGACGGCGCCATTGTTGGTGAGAGAAAGATCCTTGTAATACGAAAGATCCCGAGGCTACCACCGACCTTACTGTGCTGGAAGCTTCCAGAAGTGAAATTTAAAACCGATTGGCTGAAATGGTTTAATGATATCAGAGTTGCGCACTTCAGGTTAGTAGCCATCAACAGCATCAACGACGCCATAAGGAAAGGACGACGATACGGCGCGGCCGTAGTATACTCCTCTCAATCAGCGTCACATGCATACTGCCGAGCGGATGGAACACCGCAGAACGGAGAGCAGAGGCGAGAAACAGCGGAATTCTGAGGAGGGAGAAGGTGCGCACTGGCAGAGAATTGAGGGGTATATATAGGGATCCACAGGGGCGGCGTGGTTAACGGATGTTACACGAACGGCATGGGCGAGTACATACAGGTTGTTTCTGAGGGGAATAAATAGCAAGAAAAGGGCGCTGCACGCTAAGTACATGCAGCACAATGAGCGTGCTCGGGGCGAGTTCCAAGCTTGATAAAAATCGGGGGTCCCTAGCTCTCATAGCCTGCTAGCGACGCGCTGAAGGCTCGCAAACACGGATTTTGTGTGGACGTTTGCGCCGTAGAAGACGCGCTGCGCCCAGGCCGCGGGGGAGCCTACCCGGACCCGAAACCGCAAGTCATCAACACAACAAACACAGAAGTGCAAGTACGTGCGCACCTTTCGCAGGGCCTACAGGCCCGAACCCGATGAGGCGCAGCAGCGGTTTGGCGAACCACGACTCGGGGATGAGCATGGCGATCACCCCCGCAATGACGAATGCGGCCAGCTTCGGGTGCTGCTCGGCCAGGTCCCCCGTCGTGACGACAGCGCTCTCGATGACCGGGCTGACGCCGCGCCAGAACGTGCGGAGGGCGTCTTCGCCTACGAGGTTGTGCTTTGCGCATAGGATCTTGATGAGCTCGATTTCTGCGCCCTCTAAGATGTGACTGATGAGGCGCTGGCGGGCGGCGTGGTGCGCGGCTTCGTCGGGTGCGGGGAACGCCTCGTGCACGCGCTTGAGGATCTCCTCGAACGCCCCGTCGATATCGTTCGATACCTGGCCCAGAGACGGCCCCTCCGAGCTAGCATTCACCCGCGATCCGCCGTCCGCTGGGGATGGGACGCGGAGGGACTTGCGGAATGCTGTGATGTCGTCCTTGACAGCGCGGAGGAGGGCGCTGATGAGGTTCACGCGGGCTGCGACGTCCTCGGTGGTTTTGCGGCGGTGTCGAAGAGGTCGTCTGCGTATTTGTGGAGGGATGGCTTGGCTTGGTGCACCGTAGCCCGGATGTCGGCCGCCTGGTCCAGGGTTGAAGCTAATTGTGTAGACGTCGATCCAGATAGTGCCGGTGCTAGACAACAGAGAGACTGACCTTTCGACATCGCCAACCCTTTTGATGGAAATGATAGAAATAGGTGGGTATGTTGTTCAAACACGGAGGGGAGATTGGGACGCTTACAACGCATTGGTATCCTCACCACGTCCTTCCATGGAGGTGGTAATGCCCACGCAAGGCTTGCGAGGCAGAAGGCCACGGTGAACCAGAGAAACACGGCGGACTTCATGGCGCAAAAAGGGGGGGGTTGGGAAGCAAGAAGGGCGCCGTACGGGCCAGACATAGGTGTTCTTATAACACTAAGCGGCAATCTCTACTCTAAGAAGTTGAGTTAATCTGAAGGATCCGAAATCCCCGGTGATGTCGATGAGCGCTTGAGCATTCACCAAGGCGCATGGAATGTGCAGCAACAGAGTTCAAACGGGGCATAATCGCTTTGGTTGAGGAGCGAGTAATGTCTGCTACGGGAAGGCCTGATGATACCGCCGTTAGCAAGTTCCGGGTGTGGTAACTTGGTCGTGAGAGCGCGGCATCCAACCTCTCATCCTAACTATGCACCTTCGTTCGCTATTGTCTCCCGGCGCTGCCCTCGTACTGGTTTCGTTGGCGGCTGCATCATCTACTTCAGACGTTATTCGCCTGACCGCGCTTTCTTTTGAGAGTATCGTCCCCACAGAACCACTCATTCTTGTCAAATTCTGCGCCCCTCGGTATGCCGATCATTGTGATTGACATTTGAATTTTAACGTTTAACCTCCAGCTTCTCTTTACTTTAGGAGTAGCCATTGCAAGGCCCTGACACCGCACTACGAGCAGGCTGCGACTTCGTTGAAGGCCAACAATATTAAGATCGCCGACGTCGATTGTTCGGAGGAAGCAGATTTCTGCGAGGCGCACAGAGTCCAGGGCTACCCGTGCGTCTGCTTACTCACAACTGACATCGTCCTCTCACTACAACAGGACGCTGAAGGTCTTCCGACATGGTTCCTGGGTCGGCGATTACACCGGACCCCACCACGCTGAGGGTATCATCAGCTACATGCTCGAGTAAGCCCACCAGCCTCGCCACCGACGACTCCGTTCATTGACTCCACCCCTCCAGGCAATTCCTGCCAGCAGTCTCCAAAGTCACAGCCGAAAACCACCAAGCGTTCCAAGAACAGGCTGGCGATAGCACGAAAGTCGTGGTCATAGCCTATCTCAGCTCCCCGACTGAAGCACCCGCAGAGACATTCATCGCGGTCGCAGACAACCATCGTGACCAGAATTATGTCTTTGGCCTGACCACCGATAGCGATGCAATAGACGCAGCGGGTGTAACACCGCCCGCTATCGTGGCTTACCGCAGCTTCGACGATCCCATAACCGAATACCCCCTCCCCGTCTCGGGCGCCACAGCCGCCGAATTGGAAGAATGGATATCCGACCTGTCCACCCCCCTCATCGACGAACTCCGCGCCGAAAACTACGCTGCGTACGCGAACAGCCCGAAGCCCCTCGCCTACCTCTTCCTCGATCCCCACGCGTCCGACGAAAGGAAGGACGCGCATGTCGAAAGCATGCGGCCCATAGCGCAGAAGTACAAATCGGAACTCAACTTCGCGTGGATGGATGCCGTTCCAGTTGGGTTTGGCGATCACGCCGGGGCGTTGGATTTCGAGCACGCGGAATGCAGGGAATTCGTGACGTCAGCGTCGGCGGAGGGCTGGCTGCAGCAGCTCCTCGAAGGCGGGCCCCCCGAGCCGAAGAGCGCGCCGATCCCCGAGACGCAGGAGGAGCTGGTGTTCACGCTGGTGGCCAAGCAATTCGACGAGGTTGTCTTCGATGACTCGAAGGACGTCTTCCTTGAGCTGTACACCACTCAGTACGCACAATTTCGTTTGCACTTTCTGATGCTCATGTTTCTTTCAGGTGTGAGGAGTGCGAGCGCATGAAGCCCGCTTGGGAAGCCCTCGCCGAGGAGTACGCGCCCCTCAAGGATACGGTCACCATGTACGTACTTTCTATATCTCGATGACTGCCGACTAACCAACTCCAACGACCTGACTTAGCGCCAAGATGGATATGCAGGCGAACGACCTCCCGCCCTCGGCCCCCTTCGCTGTCACCGGGTTCCCCACCATCGTGTTCAAACCCGCAGGCACGCGCACGTTCATCGAATACGACGAGGACCGCACGCTGGAGGAGTTCATCGTGTTCGTTGAGATGTACACGGGAAATGGGGCTGAGGTCCCCGAGGAGGAGCCCGTCGTTTCTGGAGGTGGAGACGTTGTGCAGGTGCTGCTGGGTGCTGAGACCGGAGATCTGAGATCTGAGGCCTGAGACACGGTGAGTGTTGAGTGTTGAGTGTAGTCATTGGTGGATCCGTGTGCGCCTCATCTTCGTCTATCTCTAAGTTATCTACGGCTATTCCACGTCGCTCTTTATTTATAGTTGCTACGAGTCTGTATTTCATGATCATATGAACTCCACGTTCGGATATACCACACAAAAGTATACCCTGGACCAGGTCTACTTTGTTGCGTTCGTTGAGGACTACGCGGCAAATAGTCTTGAAGCTCCGGCCCACAAGGTCGATCCCGCCATTCCCGAAGTCGCGCAGATACCACTGGGTGCTGAGGCCTGAGGAGCGGGGGCACGGATTGTAGTCGTTGATGAATCCGCATGCGCCGCAGGTCTATAAGCTACTATAGGCCTGTACAATCACCCTCAAGAAAAGAAAAAAAAGACAATTTGACTGTAGCCGTGTACAAACTGGAGGGTATACGAGATCATGGCAGATTGTGTGGCATCGGGGCCGAAGGCTGCGGAATCAACGTCTAACCGGACGCTGCGATATGAGGGGAGTGGGGTGCATGTTGGCCGGATGTAGGCGCGACGTCAGGGCCGCATGCAACTTCCTCGTCGGCGGGTCCGAAAGCGACTGATGCGCAAGAACATTAGCGATGAAACTAGCGGCAGCGTTTGCGGACGCACAGTGATATGGGCTCCATATATTCAGATTGCGACACACCCATCCAATCTCCATGCAGCAGCCCGGGTCGCAGTAGTCGCCCCTCGCCGTAGGGAAGGTAGATCTCTCACACTTGTGGCCGACTTTGGCGTGGCTGAAGTCGATAAGTCGGGCTTTCTTGGTATCCGGATCAAAGAGAATATGCCGGATTCCATTGAAGCCGACTAGCTGACCATGCAGGATTCCACTGAGGTGGAGATCGCGGATAGCACTAACACACTCGAGGCTACGAAGACCACCGTTGGCCAAGAGGGATGCTGACAAGAGATAAGTTAAAGACGTACCGATAGTCCATCGTGTCCCTGTCTTTCCAGTCCTGTCGCAAGAGTCGATACGCAGATACACCCGCCCATTCGAAAATTGAGAATAGGACGACCCCGCCCCACGACGAATGGCACGTCCACAGGCCATAATGGCGCGGAACCAGAGTGCCCTGCAGGTCTCGGAGACGGTCGTTGTAGAAGCTCCACTCGTTCAAGAGACATTGGGCAACGGCGACGTTGGATGGCTCGAGACAATCCTCTGGGTCGTCTTTGTATTGCTCCTTCTCGAGGTTGATCGCCATTTTGATGCATAACTTCTGCGTGCCGCAAGAAGCCTCCGCAAAGAGGCATGATCGCGTCTTCCATGTATGACCCCATTTCTTCCACTCCTCGAAGTCGAGCTCAGCAGGAGGTTGGTCCGCGACACTGAAGGCGCTGTCGTTACAGAGGGGGGATAATGTTTCAATGTAGTTGCATGGGAGGGTGTGAGGGCTCTCGGTAGCCCGAAGTATACCGTTCATGAAGCCAGTGTCGGCAACACAGATGCGCATTTCTTGGGTCATGTGGAAGGAGAGTGTTGAAGTTCATTCGTGTTCCGACATCCCCTTCACCGCAAACGGCTCTATGTATCGCGCCTTTACGCATCTGATGACAATTCCACCAATCCCAAGGCCAACATCTTGTATACGGCAATCTGTTTCCTAAAAATTGCCACAGATTCGGTTTTGCGGGTGAAGTTCATGGAGCATATTGAATCCTTTGACGGAAGGCTATACCGTGCCGGATTTCATAACGACCCCTACTACTTCACGCCATCCAGTACTGTATCCACGGCTTGTGTGGACCAAGCCAACTTTCCTAAACCGCCCATTGATCCCAATCACAATGCACCGTCAACCCGTTTCCCTCGTAAAGCCCACGCCGGTGGAGCCCTGCAAACGAACTATTCGCTGATCAGAGAACTAGCCTCCTCGACTAACTCAGATCTTGATGTTATCAACGTGGATTTACTGGGCGCAAGGAAGCTCAGAACGTATCTCGGTGAGCGTGACTGGAAGACGCCATTGGCTCCGGGGCCGACGCTTGCGGGTTCCCCGTAGGAGAGGTATGCGTCTGGCGTGCTTGAAGGCTGGGCGAAGGTCCTCCGGAAGTACACACGTCATTCGATCACCGTGTCCACGGACAACTTCGGCTATTACGGAGCGCTTCCACCAGTTCAGGAAGAGCCGTTACTTAGCGGTATTATGGGAGGACACGCTCCTCTTAGGCCTCCTCTGGACAACCGTCACTGACGTGGCATCAAACCGCCCCAAGGACTACAGGGCACCCTCGTGGTCCTAGTCAGCGCTCAATAATGAAGTCAAAGTGTACGCGGTGCTACATTTCAGGGATGTACGGTTCTGCGGTGGTGCGAGATGTGAGGTGGAGCTGAAGACTGCGGCACTTCCCTTTGGGGAGGCGGTGCCAGGGGAGGTGGTCTTGCAGGCGTCAATGTTGCCGGTTGCCAGTCGTTTTAGGGAACACCATTTCTTATGGCCATAGTGCGTTTATACCCCCAAAATTCGGCGTATTGATTGTTCACTAGTATCTACAGTTGCAGGACGACGCCAACGACGTACACGCCGACTGGAGACGCGATACAGTCGACTCTGTCGTAACCCATGACCGTCATAACCCATACTCTGCCGAAACCCATACATTTTCCCATCCACCAAGTTGGTTCGCAGGGAAATCCCATATCTCTGCGATACCTGATAACCCATACTTTTTGGGGATGTCAAAACCCATATGTATATGTAATTTTTGTCTTATATTTAATTAAACAAGTTTCAGGCCCGTGACTTCGTCACGCATGAGACTCAGGCTTCTATGATAGATATAATGTAGACAACTCAAATCAGGGACTGTGGCTTCGTAATACCATTCATTGAATACATCTTAAAATCTTGTTGATGTCCTGTGTGAGGGTCAGGCCCTTTGTGGTCACGGCTGTTCTAGCTATTTATGGACATTCTACTTAGTTCACGGCCTTTTGTAGATTACTATGCACTCACCTGTATCTCTTATGCACTATGCTTGTAGTTGTTACCACTACGGACTCATGTTGGCGTTTCCCGTATATTGTACTTGTACTCCACCGCTCAACTCCTGTACCTTCATCTCGTCAACACAGGTTTCAGTTCACTCACCGTCTCTCAGCTCTCTTCTCTGTCTTGCGGACCTCGGAAGTCGCCTGTTACATCCTGCACCTTTGGCGCGTGACAATCCCTTCCACCCTCCCCTGTTTTTGTGCTCCCATTGAATCAGGGATGGTAGTCACTTCATTTATCACACAGTTTTCCTCAGATTTATAGAAAAAAAGGGGTTGGGAGTCATTGGGGCAGAGTTTATATGTGAATATGACTTTTCATAATCCCTCATCTTTACTATACATCTAATCTGCTAACCACTCACTTTGCCTGGAAGTATTACATGAAAGCTTCAGCTAACATACATATCTACCCTTCATGCCCCTAAATTGCTCTAAGGGATATCAGTCATTGTTATCAACAATGGTCAGAGTGTTCTCCAGTATTATTCCAAACCACTGTGACAGCTTTTGCTATGCAGCCCCTGGCAACTGACCATGGCCCGTTACAACTAAGCTACCCTAAGGGCTGATACATGCTATACAGTCCTGATGTTTACCTGTTCTATTTGCTCAGTAACACTTTCATGGAACTTGGAGATTTGGAGATTTGGGAACTCAGAAAAGAGTCCAACATACTTGCATCCTCTCAAAATTGCACAGCTTCATAATAGGGGATGTCAGAGTTGGTGTAACAGTCAAAACAAAATGGTCAAAACATTATGATTCCACCAATACAAAGGATTCAGCTCTGACACCCCAATAATGCAACCATGTTATAGGCACATCCAGGAGGCCCCTTAGGGGCTACTAATGGGTGTTCTGGCTATGGACTCAGGCTGCGCATACACGTGGCTACACGGACATGTCACGGACTTTGGATTTGTACATATTTGAGCATGCTGTACTTATTCCTACTGGACTCATTGCTGTTTTGTGAACACGCAGACACCGCGTGTTCCCCAGTATATATTTCCTGTACCGTACATGCAGTTACCTTTAGTTCGAATATTAGTTCCTTTCCGTACTTGCACCTCCGCCTCTACTGAGGTCTCTCCTTCGCATCCCTCGCCTCTGCCTGTACCCTCGGTACCTGCGTAGGACCTTGTAAGGGGACACTCCTATTTTCTCCTATTCCCCTGTCCCCCTCCCTTCCTCCTCATTCCTTTCTCCCTTCCTTCATCCCACGGACTCTTACATACATTCCCTTTGTCCCCTTTCCTTTCCACTTCCTTTCCACTCACTCCTTTCGCATCCAAGCTTTGTCCGGTGACTCCGGAGTCTTCCCGCACTTCGGACTCGCCTCGGACTCGCTCGGACGCTTCGGACTCGCTCGGACTTGTAGATACACTTCGGGGCTCATCCGGGCTACCTCTGTCCTCCTCTTCCACTTCGTTATTCCTTGTTCCCACTTCCCCAGATCGCCGGCACGACTCCTGTACATTCTCCTTCCACTTCATTATCACATGCCCCCTCGTACCTTGTGATACTTGTTCGGACCTGTGGCTGGTGTACTGTACAGTTACCCTTCATTCCTTCCACGCTACTACAGTATATACTTCGCTTCCTAGCATGGAGAATCCTTATCCTGTTCTCTTTGGATTCTCCCTCTGCTAGGTGAGCAGCTCTCTCATGTATTGTAGTTAGTCTTATTCATTACTTTGGATTCTCCCTCTGCTAGGCTTGCACTGTGTGGCCATCTTGAGGTTGCCCTTACAGACCTCCTCTGGAAATACAGGGCACGCAAGAGTGTGGGAGGCGCAGCCAGTAGCTGAAGCCAAGCCCGTACATCCTTGCTCTCTTGTTTCCCCCTGTGCCTCTATGTGGAACTGCGCACCTGCAGTCCGTGCATCCCGAGTCTCTCTGCAAGTGTGGCTCTTAACAAACTGAAACAAAAGAATAAGCACTAATTCCAGCTTAGGGGCAGGCTTGTAAGTCCATAGCATACCATATGGTGTAATTCAAAAGTAAATAGCTTTATGTAAGCTGTGGCTGAAAGCAATAACAATGTGACATCCACGGTGGTGTAGATTGGTGACTCAGTGAGTATGTATACAGGCCAGATGTGATATACGGTGAAAACAAATGGAACAACAAAGACCTGCTTGCCACAGTGCATTCTTCAAAAGTTCATTCTCTGCAGTGACAGTTTCAGGTGGCAAACAGCTTGGGGAACTCAGCATATCTGGTGTAGTGTTTTGACTGTTTTGTTTCAACCATTACACTAATTCTGACAACCCCTAATCATGCAATTGTTACATTGTAAAACCTTCCAATTGTACTACCACAAAATCATAGTTAAGTTGTAAGTCACTCTGAGAGGTTTACTGTACAGATGTGTAAATGGGTACTAATATTCTCATCTAACTTCCAACTTCCTCCCCTCTCCTCCATACTCCCTTTCTCTCCTCTATCTCTCCTCTCCTCTTCTACTCATACTCCCTGGTCTCCTCCTATACTTGAATACCATACTCCTATCCCACCCCATTACCATCAAAATCCAAGTTATTTGATCATGAGCTCTCACCACCCCTGCCCCCCTGTTTTCTGACTATCTTAAAAATGTTCTGCTACATAAGCAGCTTACTTACCATGAGTCTTGAGATTCAATGGGAAGAGTTGATTCTGATCCCTCAACTTGACTGATAATTGAAATATCCTATGCAAAAGCTCTGAAGTATACTTACAATAAGTTGTGGTCATTTACAGTTAAGTAGTTCCTCTCCTATTTCCTATTTCCTGTTCATCCACAGCCTTCTGGTGTGCCCTTACTAATCCCAGCCACTGTTCTGATCTCAATAACATATGTCTATCTAAAAGATTCATATTCAATACATTAGTAGACTTTTCACCCTGATTTACATTGAGAGGTATTGGTTGTCATTGATCATGCTTGCCAGAGCACTCCCCATGGTTATCTACAGCCACTGTGTCCCAGAACCCTCATTTAGTGAGCACCCCTACCAACACTCTGTATTCAATACAGTAAATCTGCCATGAAACTTGCATGCATGCAAGGACATGTCTCAGGTATGCTAATCCCTTCTTATTAGTCATATCTCTTACTTGTAGTTCTGTATAGCTTAGTTTGCTACTCCCATAGGTACAGACCTTTGGCTAAAAAATAATAACTAAGATATCCCACAACCAATCTCAGACATTAATCACAGCTGTAGATAAATGATCAAAGCTCCAATTGAATACTAACTGCATAATCCTACAGTCTACATTTTGTTGATATCCTGCTTCAATGTTTTGATGAATTGCTTAATCTGAGTACTTGAAGCTTATTTGTTAAAGTATGTTATGCAGAGGGAGTGAAGACATGATGCCTTTATGGCTACCCTTATCATGATCTGGTAGCATTAACAGTCCAGAGTTCAGTCTGGTACTCCTTGTTCCCTATTCCCTATCTATCCCCTGTCCCCCTGTGAGGCTCTGTGAAGCACTGAGGTGAGCGCTCTTTTTTGATTATGTAACATTAAATTTGATTACATAACATTATGGACCGTTGTGTTTTAATAATATAGATTCGTTGTAAGCAGTTGAATTATGAAACTAAAAACCATTATTTTTTCACTTTTGAGCCCACACTCTACATGATTGAGCTCCCTGTAAAGGAGGCTAGAAATCCTCCAACGTGCCACTAGGAATCAGAAAGAGGAACTTCAAACTCGCATTCAGCAAAAGAAGCCTATTACGGAGGTCATGGCCGCGTCGGTTCTTCGTAGATATATTAGTGACCTCGATTCTCCGCTTTTCCGTAGATTGGAGGACTCCCTCGCGTCGTTCGGCATACAGACTCGATACAAGGTTTCTCGCACCATGAAAGCAACAAAGATTTCCGACTACTTTGCTAGCATTTGACATTTTCATGGCTTTCCTCTCTAACTATAGTAGACTTTAGTCTTGCTTTAATCTTTCCTTGTCGTATATATTATAGTTACAGCTGTAGTCCTGTAAATAAATCCACCGACTAATTCGACGGCGATTTTTCTTAGACGCCCAAATAGGCGCTTTGAGTTAACCCATACTCTCTCAAAACCCATAGCCCAGCACGTCCACCGAGGGTCATGGGTTATGACAGAGTCGACTGTACTTGATGATTACGAAGACGCAGGACTCGTCGATATATGGGCCGTTCGGATATTCTTCAGCCCTAAGAGGGATCTGGTGGAGGGTTTGCTCCTTGCATCTGCTTATCCGTCGTACATTCACGATGCTCCGCTTGTCTAGATTGCAATTATCTAGCGAACCTTGCGTTCTTGGACTACGAGGAGTCGTGAAAAGGCGCGCATCAGCATTTCGTTTGTGTTCCGGAGCGTCATATGAGACATAGAGAGGAGGAGGTGGCCGTATTCGGATCGCCAGTGTAAGATGAGGGATGTGGAAGGGCATGAGGAATGGATCCCAGGTGTCAATCTCATCAACTTTTCGAATCGAAAAGCCTGTCGTAACTTTTCAGCCGGCCTATCAACGCCTGGGTCGGCTCGGTGTCCATCGTGCCGGCCTTTCGTACCTCTTCACCCTTTGCTAGCACTCCGTGCTGGAGCGCAATCCGCGATGTCGAAGATGATAAACGAGTCGGGGGCATGACTACTACACGATCTTTCGAATTCCTCGCCCCTCCTCATCGCTGGCGCTCCCACTTTACCTCTTTGGTCGGTCGAACTCGCGGGGATAGGGTGAGATTCCATGGGACCATGTATCAGCAACTCGTTCAGCTAATATTCTCCAACCCACGGATTAGAAACACATGGTTCCTATAATGGGGAAGCTCTGCACCGTTCCAGGAGAAGTCAGGCCGTGATAGGATCGGAAACGACATGCTACGCGACGACACAAGACGCTAGATATGCCCAACGCTGGTACTGAATAGTGGTTGTCTGTCTTGACTGGTCGATAAGTTTCGCCTGACGTTCTCAAGAAGCAAGAATTGAGTGCCCTCAGGAGGTATGTCATGCGCGTATTTCATCCGAGCTTCTGAGTTTCCGCTGATTCGTCGATCATCACTGAATCCCTCCTAAAAGCCTTAACCGAGCGTTCCGCTGATGTATCACGATCATAGAACCCCCGACAGATGTCAAAATTAGACATCCGTTGATGGAGGGGCGGAGACGGGGAGGAGATACTATCTTTGCCGCTCGGCCTCGCAAGCACACCTCACGCCTCCATCGACTTCAAGCTGGTGGGCGGATAGAGAACCAACCGTGCGTACTCCCAAGTAATCTAGACATCGAACACCGCCGAAGTCCACGACGCTCGACACGGAGAGCGGTAGCTATCCCTTGTTCACGCGACATCGTGAAAATGTTACGAGTACCACGGAAGGATGTTTTTGCAGCAGTGATCAGCAAAAGATCGGCCGTTACAGATTGGGGAGAATCGCTAACACACACTGAAGGTCTCTTAATCCCTGATGCATCCAGGAGTGTACCTATAGTGGGTTGCGCGCCGATGTCAACATATACTACACGAAGGTGCGCACCTCGTCCACACCTGCGCCATGAGTAGGCTCTCTGGGGAAACCCCCAGCATCATGCTCTAGATTTATATCACAACTTGAGCGAAGGTGTCCAACGGTGGGCCGTGTATATTTCGATGAACTTCGACTTTGACGTGACGCAATCTTTCCTCAGGTTCTCATACGCATGTTCTCAGACCGCAAGCGATACCTAGGAGATATATAGCTGTAAACCACCCCCCTGAGACAGAAAACATGTTTTAGGATGCACTATCACCGGGGCAGCAGAGTCTCGAATGCTCGTCGAGTGTATGTTCAGCTTCTTTACCATTCAAAGCCGGCTGAACCATACAACACACCTTCGATCACGTAGATAGGTACCCGCCTGTCGTTTACAATGATATGGGCATTCACAAGACGTGATCAATCTTCAGCGCTTCAGCCCCGACCTGTATCGCTAGACACGATGGCAAGCCTATCACGACTCACCAGCTCGTTCGATCTCGTTCAAGCGATAGCTTCTCCGGCTTCTGCGTAGACAGCCTGTCAGCCACCGGCCTATGGCTGAAGGAATAACTCAATTCATGGGTCACAAGGCTGATGAATGATTCGGCGGTGCGTAATAGTAACAGAAATCACTGCGTCGAATTTCGCTGAATATTCCTAATAACGGTAGAAGAGCACAAGTGAACTCCGCTGCAGCGTATAAATACAAGCCCCATTCAAGCTGGAGAACTCAGTAGCTATTCGAACAGTAGCTCTTCTACCCGCTTCAATTTGACTTCTTGCAACGACAAAGGATTATGCGCTTCATCGCATCTACCCTCGTCGCCATCGGCATGTGCGCGACTGTATTCCAGCCTGCCGCTGCGGTGAACCCCGGGAACAACTCTCTCCACATCAACGCTACCGACAACTTTGAAGTCGCCGTCTTGAAAGAATGTATGTATGCAACGACTTTGAGGTCCAATCGGTGATGCTCAGTTCCTCTTTCTATTTCCAGTCGGCCAAGATGTTTTCGACGGTCTTGCGTCGGATTCGTGCAACGTGTGGAACTGTCTTGGCGAAGTCGCGACGCTGACGCCCTGCCTCTTGAAATGCGTAATCGAGGGCAGCGTTACTTGCGTTATCGGCTGCGTAGGTGCAACCAACGTACGTCCAATGCTGATTTCGCCACACCACACCACACCACACCACACCACCTCCCCTCCCTCCTCCCTCATTCTCATTTTCAAGCCCTACTTACTGCGCAACGGCTAACTGGACTCACGGTACACCCGCGCGGACTTACAGATCTGCCCGTGCATCAACTGCTTCCCGAAGAAGATCGTCGATATGCTCCACAAGTTTGGTATCTGTGGTTGAGTCGGGACCTTCGTACGCGGTAAGTACGACACTCCCACTGCCGTCAATGTCGACTGAATCATGAGTGTAGAAATAAGACGGGTTGTTGCGATTGGAAGCCTGGTATTATGTAGTCTGGTGATGTGTATGCGCGGTCGGCCGATGTGGTGACAAGTGTGTGCGATGATATATGGTTTATGATGATACAATTTTATCCCTGGATTGGGAGACGATACACACGAGTGGCTAGCACATTCAAAGCAAGGTCAAAGCGAAACTCGTACTCGTCAATGGATGGCCTGACGAAAGCGCCATTTTACAGCGAGTTCCGCAGGAAAAAGATACCATTCAGAGAGACGGAAGCACTGCTCGGAAAGACGAGTCTAGCGGCCCCGGTGAGCGGGATGACGTCTTCGTTCAGTGGCTCGAGATGTACTCCAATTGGGATATCTTTGCGGTGCGCAATCACTTATGATCTCTGGAACTCATCACTGATGTATTACTCAGGCGGTGAGACTCCCTGTCTTCAACTCCCGGGAAACATCTAGTGAGCCCGCTTCGCTTTTTCTTGTATTCGCCGCTCTGATAGACATTGCTGATAGGTATGATGTGTACATATGGGAGTACGTCAAAAACTGCCCCATCCACCTCTTTGATACAAGACGCTCGTTGTCAGGTCAAGGACGATATTTCAGCCATCCTCAGGACCTGGCTCGAAGTTCCGTTGAGCTGTAACGAAATCATGAACGTCTTATTACATATTACATACAAGGGGAGAAGCAATCATCATGGGGCTCGTACGACTCGGAATGGCAGAGGGAAGCGTCGTTCAAAGATATCGAGGAATCGAAGGAATTACTTCGTCCATATATATCTGCGGCGATGCTGAAGAATCCGTTGGTCGATGGCCAAACCGCCTTCGTATCGGGTGTCATTGATGAGCTACGAGACTTCAACATGTCGTTGTTCTCCCCATCTAGGAGCCAACGAAGCCATCACGGCCGATCACGCTTTCGACGCTATTCCATCAAACACCGTGTGCTTCGCGAGCTAATCAGAAAGAAACGCACACAGACATCACTGCCGACTATTCAGGAGGTGCAAGAGCAGATTGCGCTATTCGGCCAGTATGCCATCTTGTCGCATCGTTGGTGCCAAGATGGCCAGGAATTATCCTTCGCGGATGTGCTCACCGGCTCATCCGATCCAAATATCCAAGAAAAGGAGGAATATAAGAAGTTGATGAGGTTTTGTACGACCGTCAAGTCTATCTATGGATGCCGTTACGTTTGGATGGATAGTCTATGCATCAGCGAAGACGATCGAAAATGCCTCGATCCCCCGTATGTTCAGTTGGTATCGCTGGGCGTACGTTTGCATGATTTACTTCGCCACTTCCCCGAAAGTGGTCGAGGATCCCTGGTCCACCAGAGGCTGGACCCTACAAGAATTTCTTGCAGCAGACAGATTCAGATGTTTCAAAAGTGACTGGTCCCCTGTAATCCTTACACAAAGGAAGTTCCACGCGAACCGAGAAGTAGGCGGAGCGGACGATGTATACAGAAGGCTTCAATCCGTTTCAGGTGAGCTGAATCACATTTATGCGGAAGAGGAATTTACTTCCATATAAACAAATAGGATATCTGAATTGGCTTGGGTACAAACCGGGGATCAGTGAGGTTTACCCGTTATTCAAAGCGATGCGCAACCGGGAGACTACAGTGCCAGAGGACATGGTGTACTCGCTCTTGGCGGCTCTTGACAGCAACTTTGGCGTGGAGTACGGCGAAGGCTTTGATAAGGCATTCTATCGCCTTCAGGTCGAATGCCTCTCCCAAGGGGGTGAACGACGGTTACTCCTGTGGGACCCGAGTGCAAGCACAAACCCAAGGTCATCCCCGTATAACTCGATGCTCGCAGGGGACTTCAAGATGTTCATCCCCATAGATGGTGACAACCAGTTTTAGAGCACCGATTCAGCTTCCAGACCCATCCATATCCTTTGATGCGCATGGGGTGATGCGCATCATGGTTACCCTTCATTGGCCGCCGTCTTCTGGGCTTTGGAAAGTTTTTACTTTTCCTATCGATTACATCACGGGCACTGTGTTTGCATTGCTTCAGGAAAACTCCCGCCGGGAAGACGGGTATGGTGTTTTATTACGGCGAATTCCGCCTCCCTCAAACCTTCCCAAACCTACTGAGAGTCTCACAACTAATGTACCTGGAGGAGAAGGCTTTGACGGCGAAGGGAAATTCTGGAGGGAAGAGAGTGTGGTATACGAACGAATTCAATATTTCGAATGCAAGTTCTCTGACCTAATACCAGCGTATAGCTCGACAGAGCCGGAATGGGTGTACATTAGGTAGACAGATAAGATTGTAGTTGGGTATGAAATCAAGTTCCTTCGTGGATTTCTGCCAGTGAGTTGTCTAGTCGAGGCGTGGTCGCCGTCCAATGCATCCAGCTGTGACACGAAAACGTTCGAGCGAGGGGTAGTTGAGCATTTTAGATAATTGATCGTGAGAACGCCCTGCCACACACCTGGCAGGGCCACCTCTTCTCGGCGCTCTTTCATTCGGAACCAAGTAAACATCGACTCTACAGGTGTGATGTACATGTTAGTGCTCTATATATCCTCTAGTATCTACTCAACGAGACTAAGCATAGTTGTAGGAATCGAGCGGTGTTCGCGTGCACGATCCCGTAAATCTCCCGGTCCTTCTTGAGAGCGGGACCCCCGTGCCCATTCATCGTGCTAACGCGTCCCCACTGTTTCTGATTAAGTGAATCAACCATTTGTTTTAACTTGTCTGCGCGCTGTCTGGGGGTATAGCAGGCGAGGTAGGGTATTAAATGGGGGCTCGAGCGTGTGCTGGTTTCGCCTCATAGAACGTCGTCCACAAACGCGAGGTGAGCGATCCGTCCTTGCTTGCAGTCTGATTCACTGAGTACACGTACCTACTTCAGTAGGCCACACCCTATGATATCAGGCCTTTCCACAAGGCTTTGACTCTTGTATCTGCGTATGCTAGTGGGCGCCAAAGTCGGGGCATTGATCTGCGAGCACGGCGATTCTATAGAGCTCGAGCTCTCGCCAGGCCGCACGATCCTTTTCGTCTCGTTTCACCCCCCATTCGCGCCCGTTTTCGTTTTGGGGCGTCAGATATGTAGGGATAGATAAGGTGACGTGCCAAGCGGCAACTTATTGCACATTTCTCAGTTCACATCCACCAACTAGCTGAATCGTGATTATTGCAATGACGAAGACCCGCTCCAGAAAGTGTCGTGGCCGTGTCAGGAACTAGCACGACACGTTACACGACGATGCCTATGTGCAGCTGCACCGCTGGCTCGCAGTTATCTCAGCCTTGACTGGCCGACTGTTGCCTGGAAGACCCACGCGAATATGGTATCGAGGTTCTGAGCTTTCACTGATAAGACCCTGATCACTGAATCCCTCCTAAAGGCCTCAATTGATGTTATTGATTTATCACAAAGATAGAACACCCCAGCAAAGGAAAACTTGAACGTCCGTTGATGAAGGGGCAGAGATGACAGGGAGATACAATCTTCGCCGCTCGGCCTCGCACCTCAGGCCTCATGTGTAGATGGGTACAGCACACTATGACGCTCAAACCCCAACGTACCATGTTATCGCGCAACTACTACGACGCCACCTCATGTCACGCGAAAGGATCACTCCAGCGAGATCCTCAAACATCAGGCGTTCACGATAATGTCACGGGTACCACGGAAGCAGGACTTTGGCAGCAGAGATCATCTATCATCCACAACATTGACGGTTCCAAATCCTGGGGACTCTGGTGCTCAGGCTAGTACTTCCCCAAATCTTCGATGTAACAAGGAGTGCGCACCTGCCACCCACGACGGCGGTCATACTCCGAGTCGGTTCATACGCACACATCGGTACGTATCTCTTCCACGCCTACCTAGTGTGCCAGCTCTATGAGAAAAATGACAAACATACTTTAGATCTATATCACTGCTTGAACGAAAAAGACAACTTCAACGGTTCATTAATTTTGTTCTGATGACCTTCGCCTTCGCCGCCCAATCTTTTCCCCGCACACCCCATCACATGCTATCGTACCGCGAGGGATCTCTGGGGACGGAAGACGTGTTTCAGGGAGTGCTATTACGGGGCCAAAGTCTCGAATGCTCGTTCTCGATTGTATGTTCAGCTTCTTGACCATTCTGAAGGCGGCTAAACCGTATAACTGACCTTCGACCACATAGATAGGTACCCGTCTATTGGCCGCTATGACATGAACAGTCACAAGGCGAGAGCTTTAACATCCAGCATCAGACACTGGAGCGAGGCCCATCGCGATTCACCGTTTTCTCATCCTGTTCAAGCAAGGGCTTCTTTACTGACAGGTCGGCCACCGGCCTTTGGCTGGTATGGTAGCTAAACTCAAGTCAATCTATGGAAGTACCGTGCCAAACGCACGATTGGACGGTCCGAAATCGCAACACCAAACAGTTTGTTTACTCGATCTTTGCGAATCGCTAAATACTCGCAATAGCAATAGCGACAGAAAGAGCGCGGGTGAACTCCGCTGCAGCGTATAAATACAGCCTTAGTTCAGCCTGGAATGCACAGCAGCTAAACTCTCATAGCTCGTCTTCGAATCCTCTCCAACTTCGACTCCAGCTTCAACGACAAAGGGCTATGCGTTTCATTGCATCCATCCTCGCCGCCGCCGCCGCATGTGCGATCGTGTTCAAGCCTGCCGTTGCAGTGAATCCAGGAAACAACTCCCTGCACATCAACGTTACAGACGCCTTCGAGGCCGCAATCCTGAAAGAATGTACGTAACCGATTTAGGAGTACTCTTTCAATTTGCTGACTGCATGCCCGGACCACGTATATCTTCTTGCTTATATTTCAGTCGGCCAGGATGTCTTCAACAGCCTTGCGACAGAATCGTGTAACGTTTTCCGCTGTTTCGGCGTAATCACACACCTTATCCCTTGCCTCATGAAATGCCTGGAAACGGGACAAGGGGTTTCCTGCATTCTTGCCTGCGTAGGAACTGTTGACGTACGTCGTAACTTCAAATGTCTTTAGGTACCTCCTCCCCCTAGTACCCATTCCTTTCTCTACATGACACGGAAGTCTACGCACTTACTGACTAAATGCATGGTGTACGCCCTTTATAGGTCTGCCCATGCATCGACTGCTTTCCGAAAGCCATCATCGATTACCTCCACAAATTTGGCATCTGCGTACATGGTAAGCACGAAACGCACACATCCATTGAATTTAGCCGAGTTGGGATTATACAGGTTAAGGGTAAGACAAATTGTTAATATTGAAGTCCTAGTGGTATGTCGTCCGATGATTTGCAATGGGGTCCACCGGCGAGGTGAAAACGATGCACAGTGTATATTAACCTATGAATTATGATGTTACGGGTCTGACGCAAAGTTAGGAGATGTGTCGCGGGTATCAGTCGCGCAAGGCGATGAGAATTGTAGGAAACAGACAGCTCCCATAGGATGCTGGGGAGGTAGGACGCATCTGCGGCACCAGTTATCAACACACTCTCGGGTGACATGTGCAAGTTGCATTTGGTTCCTAGTCACTAAAGCAGGCAGAAATATAGACCTCTGGCCTCATGAACAATAAAACTGAATAATCACACGCAGTCCCGATGCACCACTACCACCTGAAAGAGGCCAAAGCGGGGTGAGAAGGGATCCACAACGTACGCGCGGTGCCGCACCCACCCCAGCCGCCCCGTGAATACTGAATAGAAGGGCGGGTGCCGAGTGTTCCTTCGGATTCCATGTCTTCTACTCCCAAGTAAGTACACATTCGAGCGTATGGGTCGGGGTACGTACATACACCGGCACCGGGGTCATGTCCGGGCGTACGCAGAGCGTTGAAGTCGAGAAGAGGAAGGTCATGCCCATCGACCGGCGACAACAGCTGTGAATATCCGGTATTTAGGATGTCCACGGATGCCGCAATATGGCGTAGCATCTGCGGTCCCGATGCTTCACACCCACCTTTGCGAGGGTCGGCACATAGGACTGTCGCGCGGTACCGTACTCGTCCGACTTTCCCGTGCATACTGAGTACAAGGACTCCCTGACCGAGGTCCTGAGCTGGCCTGAGGGTCGATGGCCGGAGGTACCTTGAATTAGGATTGTCTGTATTTATCGAAGTGGTGCAGTAGTAGCCGGTAGGGCGATGGCATTTGGCACTGCTGGGCATGGCACGTACGCCGGTACCGGTGTCGATCTTATCGCGACACGAGCCCGATATCATACCACTCCCAACCCTTCCTAACCACTCCCCCCAAATCTTGTCGCCGCAGGCGCGAGCGGGCTGCCGCTGTGGCTGTGTCTTGGTATACTTACAAACCGATGAGTGATATTCACGAGCACAAGCAAGGCAAGTGTTCGGGTGCCCATGAGCAGCTATCACCACTATCCGCACACTGCGATTTCGGTGGGGGGCCTGGTGGGACCTGAATTCGGTAGGTCATCGCGAAGTCCACGAGGAGGCCACGAGGGATCCTATAGATAGGCACATACCTCAGGTGCCGACCCGCAAACCGCAGTGCCCTTCCGTCGCTATTCAATTCGCAAGAGGACGGTATCATTATGGCGATGTGTTGTCAAGTAGCCGTCGTTGCAATCTCGCCGTCGTACCTGACCAGGTGCTACGATGTCATAACATCAGAAGATATGCAGCGTACCATGTGGAATGATTAATGATTAATGAGGGCCGGGTGCAGAAGGAGGGTTAGCAGCGATGTCACTGTATTGTATACTGCATACGACAGCAACACACTGCTTATGCTGCAGCTAATCCTACACGATGCGACCCGACGATGGTAGAGATGGTACGACTCGCACTAGGTGGCCGTCTGAAGGAGCTATTTGCCACTGTTACAGTACTTTTGGAAGCTCGAGCAGCCCCGGGGGCAACGTCAACGGAAGAAACAGCCCATCTCGACACGATAACCCATACACAATCCGCGCCTCCGCTTCTCCCAATAACATAACCCTCAGTCCAAGTGCCATACTCGAGTCTCGAGAGCTCGTGGTCGGGTACAAGGCCGAAGCAAGGCCACGGCGCCATCCGTCCGTACGCCACAGTCATCCAGTCACCAGCAAGCTTGATCAAAATTACTTACAGTACAGCTTCATATGCATATGCATCAATCGTTAATAGACGTTAGTACGCTTTCGCTGTCTTGGTCTTGGGCGTCCACGAGACCGCTCAAGGGGTATTGAGGGCACCGGTAGTCGCTCGTCGTTGAAGGACTCTACTTAGATCGGCAGTCGGCAGTCGGCCGTACAAAACAAAACAAAACAAAACAAAACAAATCCAATTCCGTCACTGTCAGAAAAACAAGGACGCCGCAAGCGGCAAAACAGCGCAAAACCAAAACCATCAATGCCGCATCAACGATTCAAGATTTCAAGATGTCGATGCGCGATGCTCAACTTGTTTCAGCAACAACTAGCCACTAGCCGCAGCGTCTTCCCAGCCACCAGTGACCAGCCACATATGTACGCTTTTGTCTGTTGTCTGGCGCCTGTCGAATCGTCGAGTCGATGTAGGGGAGAAGAGCTTAGAGTTGGTGTTTCGGATTGAAGGTGACCCTCCCATCTCCTGCCTCCTGTACTAGATTTCCCGATTTTCAGCCCCTCGGGCCGGTCCCCCACATTCGAATCGATAGATGTCCACTTGTAGACCCTATCATCAACGTCACCGCCAATGTTCATTCATTCTCGTGGTTCGAAGCCATGATATGACATGATATATATATGTATAATGCGTAATCGTAATGCGTGATGGTTAAACGTTAAGCGTTAAGAGTAATGTTAATGTTAATGGTTAATGGTATACGACATACGATATATGATGTTAGTTTACAGTTTTGACTACACGACAACAGTTAGGTGGTAGGTGTAGTATGGCGCCATTAAACCCAAGCAAGCCCACAGGATATGAACAAATCGACTCCTCCCGCCACCCTATAGCAGCTAGCAGCGGAGTGCAGGATTCAGGAATGCAGAAGGTGAATGAAGGTAGAGGGGGGAATCACCCAGCACACCTCACCTCATCACACGCTCATCACACACGGTCACACACGGTCACCACCCCCTCCCCTTCTCCAGCTCCTCCTCCTCCTCGCGCTCCTGCTCCAGCTGCTTGCTCGTCGATATCGAGCTCGCAATATCCATCTCTATATCCCCCCCGCGGCGGCTGTCCGGTATCGGGTCGCGGTGGCGCTGCACCGACACCTCCGTGTGGATATTCAGCATATGCATCGGCAGGCCCGCCGACACGGTCGGGTTGATCGACTGCAGCGCATGCGACCTCCCCCCTCCTCCCCCGCCCCCGCCCCCGCCCGCATGCTCCAAATACTCCCCCGTGCTCTCCCCGCCCCCGCCCGCGCCGCTAGTCCCCGCCCCATGCCGGCGCGCACGATCCGTACTAATAATAATAAGATTAAACGTCACCCCAATAATCTGCACGACCGCGTTCGAGAGCGCCAGGATCGCGTTCGAGCCCGCGAGGTACGTGCCGAAGAGCACGAGGATCGTCGTGGTGTAGATGAGCCCGGACTCGATGAGCACGCGCATGACGCGCGCGAGGGGCGAGGGCGGCGCGCGCGGCAAGGCGTGCGAGGCGGTCGGCCGGAAGTGCGACGCGCGCGTGTCGACTTTCCAGATGCGCAGGACGATGAGGCCTGAGGGGGGGGTCAGTATGGGGAGGGAGAAGGGAGAAGGGAGTAGGGAAAGGGGGAAAGGGGAAAGGGGGGTACGCACCGGTGGTTAGCATGTTAGTGGCGAGGGTGAGGACGAGCATGCTCGTGATAAAGGGCTTGATGACAGACTGGTCGAGCGTGCCGACGCCGACGGCCGCTTCGGAGTAGGAGGTCATTATGCCGCAGGCTGGACATTTCCCATACCCATATCCATTAGTATACGAGTTTCCCGAGGGGGGGAGGGGAGGGAGGGGGGAGGGGGGAGGGAGGGAGGGAGATGGCTTACCGGTCGTGCCGAGCCAGAGCAGGATGGGGAAGGCGACGACCCACCAGTTGCGGTCGTAGACGACGAAACAGCGGTAGAGCTATACATCAACAATACATGTGAGCACACGCATACTCGGATGGACAGTGTGGAGGGAGACGAAAGAAGAACGCGGGCATGTGCACGTACGCACCAAAATGCTATCTCCCACAAACGTCTGCGCGACATAGTTCACCATCTTCATCACGTTCGTCCACCGTCCAATATCGTCGAACACCGCCTCGGGGCCGCCCTCCTCCGCGCCATCCGCGCCAATCACCACGGGCGGCGTCTTCACGAACGCCAGGATATTGTTGTGGAGGCCGAACGCGACGTCGAGGGTCGCGAAGACGAGCATGAGGAGCGCGGCGAGGAGCATGGGGGTGTTGATGTGGCGCAGGGGCTTGAAGTAGTCGCGCAGCGAGAAGGAGGTCGCGTAGCCGTTGTAGGGGCTCGCGCTGTGGGTGTGGTGGCTGGGCGGGGGGAGGTGGAGGGAGGGGTAGGCGGGGTGGGAGGCGGCGGCGGCGGCGGGGGCGATGAGGAGGACGCGGAGGCAGGCGACGAATGTGACGAGGTAGACGCCGTAGAGGACGGACTCGAGGAAGAGGGCGACGATCTGGGCGGTGTCGATGGGGAAGTCGGCCATCGTGGGTGGTTAGAGGCGCGCTAGGTGATATGCAATATGTACACGGAGGTATCCCTGGCGCGGGGCGGGGCGTCCAACGCAGATCCAAGGGGATGCGAGGACGGAAGTTGGAGGTTGGGGAGGGGGAGGGGGGGTGTCAATGGGATACTCGAGGGGTGCTTATGAGGACGGGATTCATATGGGATTGGCAGAGTCGTGCATGCAGTTCCTGGAGATAAGGGAGTTGGCGGTCGGATGGCGAGCACGGGCTGGGCTCTGGGGTGGCTGGTTGGGAAGAAGGCACGGATTGTTATGTGAGGTGCAGGGTCTCGGTGGATGTGGAGGAGACATGTGAGAGGGGAGGACGCCACTGGCAGACGATGATGGGTTGATCGCCATGGAGGAGATGTCGACTCGGAATAGTGGCGCACCAGCCATTAGCACTATTGATTGCGCTGGGCTATCTCGTTATCATATGTTTATTTCGCAGTGAGTGTGCATGTGGGTGCAATTACAAGCTGTTGAGGAGACGTCAGGCATGGGAATCGGCGAGTGGAATCAGCAACTGAGGAATGGGAACGAGCGCAGAGGGAGACGAGGCGGAATGAACGAGGAGGGAAGGGCCACCGATCCGAAACGCAAAGACGAAGACAACGTACCTGGGCGATCAGGTTAGTCTTTGCTGAAACACGTTGTAGTGATGCCAGTCCATCCGGCGATCAAAACCTCCTTCAATAACAACGACGTCGACAGCCCAACACCTGGACACACGCGAGCGACGACCGGTGCGGCGGTGCCCCTCAATGATCCCCTGTCCCTTGCAAGTACTGATTCCTGAGATCCCGTGCGCATCCCAAGGCGCACTAACGTCTATTGACGTTGATGAAAGTGAAGTTTTGCAGTTTCGAACAGGCTCGATGATGGCTGCGGCGTAACGGTGGATGGCGCCATCGACCTTGTTCAGGGCTTGAGCTTGACGCGCATACACCGACGCTCGGGCACGTATGTCGTTGGGATACTTGCTATGTCGTTGGCGTTCGGACGTCGTCGGTATGTCCATATCTTGCAGTGTTGCACGTTCGTTTCTCTGACGTCTCTTGCAACAACACGTGCAAACAAGTACCAAGTACCCCTTGAGTGGCCTTGCTGACGGCTATTAACGATTATTGATGAAGCTGTGCTTTCGAATTTTGATCAAGCAGGCGTGACGATGTCTGTGGCGTACACACGGATGTCGCCATGGTCCTGCTTCGGCCTTGTGCCCGACCGCGAGCTCTCCAGTGTAGCGCTTGATTTGGCAGAAACAGAGCTTGAAAAGTAACAAAGGCAAATAAAGACTTTGCAGACGGTGACCCAGTGTGAATCGTACGACGCATCTCTACCATCGTATCGGTAAGTATCGTGTATCGTGCAGGATGTGCTGCAGCATACGCAGCATGGTCACCGTCGTATGCAGAACGCAGAACGCAGAATGCAGAATGCAGTATGCAGTATAGTAACGGCACTGTTAACCCTACTTCTGCACCCGGCCCTCATTGATCGTCAATCATTAATCACTCCACATGGTCGCAGGACTATCCTGGACCGTATCCGTATCGGCATCTGCTGCTACTTATCTGCATACCTCCTCATGTCATGACATTGCGCAATGTCAGCACCTGCCCAGGTACGGTACGGTGCGGTGCGGCGACGAGATGCAACGGCTGCTTGACGACACGTCGCCCTAATGATACAGACTACACTCCAGCACAGCACAGTCCCTACACCATCTGAGCTCCCTACCAGCTACTTCTACACCACCACCTGGATAAATATAGACGATCCCAATCCCAAGGCCAATCCCAAGGCCAAGGCACCTCCGGCCATCTGCATCGACCCCCCCCCCCGCCGCCGCTGCTCAGGACCGCTGCCAGGGAGTCCTCGTACGCGAGCGTACGATATCGATATCGATATTCACGCGCACGGGAAGTCGGACGAGTACGGTACCGCGCGCCAGGCCTGCCGCGGTACCGCGCCGACCCTCGCAAAGGTTGGGGTTGTGCTGCGTCGGGCCGCAGATGCTATCTGTGTACGACACGACACGACACGACACGACACGATATCGCGCAGCAGTGCGGTAGTGCAGTAGTGCAGTAGCGTAGCAGTGTAGCAGTGCAGCATCCTTGGACTTGGACTCGGACTCGGACTCGGGACACCTACATCACCTACATATGCGTATGAATACCCGACTTGGATATGCACGCTGTTGGCTGTTGGCGGTGGCGTCGGGAGTCGGGAGTCGGGAGTCGGGAGTCGGGACCGCGTGTCGGTATTTTATTTTTTATGGCCGTCTCGATATTCATAGGCCAGAGGTCGGGGGTCTACTCGTATACTCATTTCTCCCAGCTTGTGCTAGTACGAGCTACGAGCTACGAGTGACGCTGGCCGGCCAACCAGGGACCAGATGCAACATGCAACATGCAACTTGCCACTTGCAGCTTGTTGCAGCTTTTTTGGCACATGCCACCTGAGCGGCGAGAGGGTGTTGATGCTGGTGCGCGGATGCGTCCGACGTCCGGCCCCTCAGGCCCAGTCAAAAGTCGGGAAGCTGCCGTCGGTTGTGAAAAGTTCACACGGTTGGTACCAGGCGTCATCGGTTGTAGCAGGTTAGCAAGTACATACTGCCGTGTCGATTGGCAATGTGTCAAATCAACCTCATTCAGCTACACAAATGATTGTGTGTACATGTGAGCACCGATGTAAGGGAGGTAAAGAAGTTTCATCCTCAACTTACACCCGACATTGTGAGTTTCGTGAAGCTGAAACAATAGCACGGGTTGCTCCCCAGTCTCGAGGTACGTGTATGCGCACGGTTTCGTTTGGACAATACTGATTGGGATTATTGCTAGATCAGGATGGTTCAGAACAGCCCGCAGCAAAGCGACGTCGATTTGAAGTGAACGAAGCAACAGCAGGTCCATCTGGCTCTCGAAATCCAGGGTCTCCTCCTCCTCGTACTCCCCCTGGATTGCCGCCTGGATTGCCTCGTCCCTCTTCGCCCCGTTCGCCACCTCGTTCACCGGCACCACCTGGACCGCCCCCTGAATTTCCACCTCGTTCACCACCGCCTGGATTGCCGCCTAATTCACGATCTCCTGGACCGCCGCCTCGTTCGCCGCCTCGTTCGCCACCTCGTTCGCCGCCTCGTTTGCCGCCTCGTTCTCCTCCACCTGCTGATACTTTGGACCGAGGATCTGGACTTCCTGCCACATCTCAAATTCCTGATATTCAGCAGTCGCTGGAATGGCTGAAACTCCTTCGTGAAGCCACCCTGGATAACTCTGGTCTCACAGCATCTCAACTGGATGCCCTTCGAAATCCCCAGCCAGTTAACCAAGAAGATTTCGACAAAAACCTACGGTTCTCTTTGGATGTCTTCTTGGCAAACATCACAGCAGCGCAGGCTGTTTATATAAGGAATTGCGCCGCTATCGAACGCAATACAGATGATACCAAGATGCTTTCAGCGGATCAGCTCAAGCGCCAGCTGGAACGCATCAGCGGCGTCTATGCCATAAAGCACGACATGTGCACGAACGGCTGCATCGCCTATACAGGTCTATACAAGTTGCTTGAAGAATGCCCCCAGTGCCTACATCCTCGTCGAAACCATTATCACGATCCATTCAAGACATTCACCACATATCCCATTGGTCCACAAATTCAAGCGCAATGGGCTTCGGAAGAAGGCGCAAATGATATGCGATACCGGCAACGGCGTACCGACGAGCTGCTTGAAAGGCTTCGTCAGAACGGTGGAAAACTGGATGTATATGATGATTTCCTGTGCGGCAGCGATTATCTCGAGGCTGTCATCAACGGCGACATTACCAACGACGATACTCTGCTGATTTTCTCCATGGACAGCGCCCAGCTCTACCGCATGAAGCAATCAGACTGCTGGCTGTACATTTGGGTTATCCTCAACCTTGATCCAAACAAGCGGTACAAGGTTCGCTACGTTCTTCCTGCTGGATCGATTCCTGGGCCCGACTCCCCGAAGAACATAGATTCCTTCGTCTTCCCATCACTTTATCACCTTGCCGCGATTCAAAACGAAGGTGGGCTTCGCATTTGGGATGGTGGCCAGCGCCGGTTAAGCTCCTCTCGACTACGCCTTGTCTTTGTCACTGCCGATTCGGTGGCACTGGCTAAACTCGCCCGCTGGGTTGGCCATCTTGGTAGATTCCCATGCCGAATCTTCTGTGGTCTTCCTGGACGGCACAAACCAGGTGCACCCCACTACTTTATTGCTCTCCTTCGCCCCAATGGTCGTCTTCCTGCAAATTCTCATGGCGATGTAAGCATAGCAGCACTTCCCAACGGTTCAGCAGCACAATTCCTTGACAATCTCCGCTCTGTTATCACCTCGCCCAATCCGACTCAATTTGAGCGTCGCCGTCGTGATTCTGGATTATCTGGTGTCTCCATCTTTTTCGGCATCGAGCTTGTGTTCCCTCCACCCTTTTGCTTCACTGGTGATATGATGCATCTCGACGGGCTCAATCTACCTGACCTTCTCATCGGACTTTTTCGCGGTGAAAGTGACCTTGTTAGCACATCGGACAGTGTCATGAACTGGGAGTGGGCTGTCCTTCATGATAAAGATACCTGGGTACAACATGGCGAGCTTGTTGCTGATGCAAGGCCCTATCTTCCTAATTGCATCGAGCGACCACCACGGAATCCCGAAAAGAAGATATCAAGTGGTTTCAAGGCTTCGGAGTACCTTGTTTACGTCTACGCACTTTGTCCAGCCCTCCTTCACGGTGTTCTACCACATGCTTTCTGGAAACACTTCTGCAAACTTGTCCGTGCACTTCACCTTCTCTCGCAGCGCTCTATCTCTTCAGAAGCTGTATCAACGGCGGACAAGCTGCTTATCGACTACTGCCAGGACTTCGAGTTGCTTTACTATCAACGCCGCATGGACCGATTACACTTTATTCGGCCGTCTATCCATTTTCTTCTCCACCGAGGACCTGAAACCCATCGCCTGGGACCGAATGCCCTACTAGCGCAGTGGGTTCTAGAAAGGACAATTGGTAATCTAGGTGCCGAAATCCGACAGCATCAAAATCCTTACGCAAATTTGGCTCAACGCAGTCTTCTACGGTGCCAACTCAATGCGTTTCGTGCGCTGGTCCCTGGATTCGTCAAAAGTGAAACTGGTCCATCACATCTAGGTCAAGATATTGGTGACGGCTATACACTGCTTCACAAAACTGAAGACACATCTCATCTCTTGCATCCGGATTCACACGAAGCCTCGGCCCTTCGCACTTACTTAGATCATATACAACCTGATCACGACAATATCCAGGAACTCCGAGTCATCCGATGGGCTCGATTACGACTACCGAATGGGCACACAGCACGCTCGCTCTGGGTAGAGCAGTTTACCTCCAAAATCCCACGTCGTTCTCGCAATGTCAAGCTGATCACCAACAGCATTGTTCAAATTGCGGAGGTGATGTACTACTTCAAGTTTCATGTGAACGGCCTCACCCTTTCCCTCGCAATGGTGACTCTATATGGAACTCCAGATCCCACCATACTCGAAGACTCATCCAATTTATTGTGGGTGTGTGATTTCCCCGCCGCGGGAACAGCTATTTGCGTCGTTGATGCAAAATCAGTGGAGTCAGTCATCAGAATGGTGCCATATAAATGGAAGCCGGTTATCGACCTTGCGGAGGGACATTTGATGAAACCAGGGAAATATTTTATGGTAGAGCAGCTCAGTCACAATGTCGCCATCGTAGATACCAGTGAAGACGATGACAACGAAGAGTAGTAGTGAATACAACATGCCATATATAGAAGTTCACACAGCCATGGTTGAGTTTGGCCTCGCGTTTCCTGAGTATCTTCACTCTCACCATCACCACACTTCACACTGTCTTCCAATAATATCTTAGTATGTCGGGCTTTGGCCACAGCTTCTCTCATTCTCCATATCAGCATGGTCAACGGACACTCGGATCTGGTTCTCTGCGCCCGACTGGATTGCAACTGGCTGGAACATTGCCATATTCACCTAACGGCCCATCTATGGCTTCAACTCAAGATCTCGAAGTGACGTTCCCATTAGATCCGTCTCTTGGGGTGGCTGAAACTGCCTATCGACCTCTGGCATCGAACTCGGGCCTAATGGGAGGACAGGTGGACTATATGCGCCGCTGCATGGAGCTGGAGCAAGAAGCAAGGGTTTGTAATGCGCAATATATGGTCCTACGGTGTGTAAAGACATTAAGCTTACTATACCAGTGACAAATTTGCCCTGTAGTGACGCATATATTGCACTCATTCAAGCTGTTCCGCAACTCCTCCAATTCGTAACGCCCCCCCCAGGATTACCCATACCAACAACAGGCTTTGCCGCACCAGTCTCTGGTGTCTCTCCGACTCTCGCGCTTCCACAGCTTCTTCAAAAGGATTACCCGAATGTAAGATACTGGCGGCAAACTGAATACCAGAAGCGTGACAAGGAAGACACTACACTGCGGCAAAAAGAAGACAGCAAGAAAACTACGATGTATCTGGAGGACGACACTGGTACTCAAATAAGCAAGTCCTTACGCTCACGCCTCTATAACCATGCATTCGCATTCTGGAAAGCTCTAGAAGATTCTGGCATCAAGGTGACAAACTTTCGAGACACAAACTTGGACATCATCAAACGGTTTCGCACCTCTGTTGAGGCCGACTTCTGGTTCCTTCGGCTATGCGAGCATCACTGGAAGGCTGACGAACTCTGGAAGCAGACGTGCTCAACATATCTCAAGAAGCCAGCCAGCCGTGACTCAAAGATGGACATCAAAACGGAACGCTTACTAACTGAGGTCGTGGCTACAGCAGCAGTCAAGGAGGACTCCCCCGAGCTCACACTCGAGTACATGGACGAACCGATCGAAATCTCCGATAACGAACTCGAGCCTCCTGCGAAACGCGCAAGTCCGAACACGGGGCCCAAGGGACCTTCTCCAAAGCGGCCGCGTCTCTCTGCCGAGACCCCGTCTGCCCCCACCCCCAGCGCAGGACGAATGGATGATACTAGTAGCACTAGCAAGGGCAAGGAAAGGGCCCCACTAAAGGTAAGTTAATTAATCTCAATCGCCGCTTGTACTCTCACTGAGGTTCTCGTTTCCTTAGCTCATCAATCCATTGTACGTGACATTGCCTGCATTTCTCCTGAACTAACATCTTCTAGGGCCCGCCTTCGCATGTCTACGGCTACCAAGACGACAGACGAGCCCAGCATCATACCACCTACCAGCTCGACAACGAAAACTCCCTCCAGCATCTCCCAACCCTCTCCCGAGCGTGTGCATGCCCCAATTGCAACCGATTCCATTGCCATCGCAGACCTTGCAGACCTTGCTCCAGTTGCTCCCCCCGGAACAGAACCTTTGGCACCAGTTGTCGCCTCCACCTCCCGAGCGGCGGATCAGGCAAGCATGGCGACACGATCTGCTCCGAAGCGCCAGCCAGCGAGTGCGCAGCTCTTCGTGCCAAACAAGACTAGCAATACAGCGAAGTACGTTCGTCTCAATCACACTACCAGTTGACTCATTTCATACCTTCTGTACTAGGTCTATATGTGGAAGGGAATGGAATGCGTCGCATCCCAATGGAACGAAAGGCGAATTCGAGGGCTATTATAAGGCGCTAACAGAGGTAGAGCGGCAGGTAGGTTTATTCAATCCATCAAGTTGCCCTGTAGTAACCACGACCACCTCAGCGATATCGGCTTCAAGAGAAAGAACTGGTATGTGATGCAGCTACTCTTACCTTCCTGCTATGCCCTGACCTATCTATTCTACCAGAAGAAATCCAATAAAGAGAACATGAACAGCGCAGCAAAAATCAATGTCACGGCTATGAAAGGTTCCACAGCCGCACCTGATGCCAACGACTCCGTCGTCATGGCGTCAACGACCAGTGAATAGACAATTGAGTGATTGTAGGCAGTGAAATGGAAGGGAAGTGTGGCGGGGAACAAGCTGGATGCCTGGCTTTCACGTACTACAATAATTACCGGTAATGCCCTACAGTAACTGGTACAAACCTACCGTACCCAATAAATCATCGTCTCATTATTCTTCAGCTTGATATGAGCGAGTAAAAGGTTTCTATTGGCTGTAGCTAGCGGTACAAAGGTATGCTAATAGAAACTGATACAAACCGGCCGCAACATCCAACGTCATCGGCTGAGAGCCCATTAGAGGAGCCACCATCGGTTTCGGTCAGCGCTTGACACTACACTGATCCCAACCAATCCCAACCAATCCCAGCCTAGGGATTTTTGACTGGGCCTCAGGCTCCAGCGCCTCCAGCGTCCTGCAATTCTCATCGCATCGCATCGCATCGCATCGCCTTGCGCCTTACGCCTTACGCGGCTGATACCTGATACCGCCAACATTCCCAACATAACTTTGCACCAGATGCGTAACATCACATACCATCACATCACAATCCACTCCATCCCATCGCAACAAACGGCCCTGCCCTCAACGTCACATGCGTAATTCGACTCAGCCAACTGCGATAGACGCGTATGTGTATGTGTATGGGGCGGGGCGTGCTTACCGTGTACGCAGATGCCGAATTTGCGGAGGTAGGCGATGATGGGGTCCGGGAAACAGTCGATGCAGGGGCAGACCTGTACAGACGGGCGCACACCACACCGTGCATTGCGTTGCGTTGCGTTGCGTTGCGTTGAGTCAGTAAGTGTATAGACTCCCGTGCCATGCAGAAAAGAGAAAAGAAGGAACGGGCATTTCACGGCATTTTAAGATAGGACGTACGTCGGTCGTTCCTACGCAGGAAAGAACGCAGGCGAGCCTGCCCCGGCGCGAGGCCTTTCGCGAGGCAGGGGACCAGGTGCGTGACTACGCCGAAACAGCGGAGGACGTTGCACGATTCCGTGGCGAGGCCGTCGAAGATGTCCTGGCCGACTGGACGGTGGGAGGGGGAGGGGGGAGGTGGAAGGTGGAAGGTAGCAGGTAGCAGGTAGCAGGTGAGCAGGTAGCAGTCCAAGCACACGGCATGCAGCGTGCAGTATGAAGTGGGCAGTATGAAGTGAGCAGTCGGCAAAGTCAGAGCGCATTCCTAGATTTCCGGAGGGGCACGTACATTCTTTCAGGATGGTGGCTTCGAAGGCGTCGGTGACGTTGATGTGCAGGGAGTCGTTTCCTGGGTTCACCGCACCGGCAGGCTGGAACACGATCGCACATGCGGCGGCGGCGACGAGGACGGATGGAATGAAACGCATGTTTCTTTGTCGGTGAGGTTGAAGTTGAGGTTGAGGTTGAGGTTGAGGTTGAAGTTGAAGTTGGAGTCGAAGAGGAAGAGGAAGAGGATGTGAAGACGAGCTACGTATATGCGACTGTAGCTGCCGTGCATTCCAGCTGAACAACATCTGCATTTATACGCTGCAGCGGACCCTAACCCGCCCGCGCTCCTTCAACTTCTCTCGCTATCGCAAATATTCACCAATTCACAATTCACAAAGATCGAGTAAAACCGTTTGGCATCGCGATATCGGGCCGTCCAACCGTGCGTTTGGCACGGCCTCCCATACACTGAATTGAGATTGAGTTTAGCGACCATGCCAGCCGACCTGTCGAGGAAGAAGTCTCTGCTTCAACAGGATAGCAGGATGGGAGAACGGTGCATCGCGAGGGCCCTCGCCCCCGTGTCTGATGCTGGACGTCAAAGCTTGCATCTGTGACTGTTTGCGTTATTGGGAACGACAGGCGGGTGCATATCTGTATGGCCGAAGGGCAGGTATACGGTTTATGTTGAGCGAGCATTTGTCCATCAACCCTAACGGGGAGGACGAGCGTGCGCTGAGTGAAAGACTAGTGTCTACTCACTGGTTATAAAACTAGTACTACTTGTAGCTAGGTAGTCTTGATGCACACACTTAGGTAAGTTCTCTGGTAGAGCACTTGGTAGATTGTAGACGGATACAGGCTCCTTATATACTACTATCTACCTAAGATATAAATAGATGCGCAGTCAATACCTAGTCAGTATGACTTGGTATGAGTCGGTATGACTCACGTCATTAGTAAGATACTTCTATGAAGTTCTACTGCGGACTGCGTGTCTGACTCATGTCCTGATGGTCATGGTCATGTGGAGGTGCATGCGCAACACTCCCCCTCGCTAAGATGTTCCTCTGAACTTCGAAGCGGATTGTGTGGAATCAAAGAATTTGATTCCGAGCATGGACCTGAATAGCTCGAACTTTTGATAACCAAGATTTTTGGTAAACATATCTGCAGGATTTTCTGCACCATTGACGAAAAATAATTGAACGTCATTGGCTTCCACGCGATCACGAATGTAATGATAGCGGATATCAATATGTTTAGTTCGTCTATCAGACACAGGGTTTGATGCAATGAAAATTGCACCCTGGTTATCAGCGTAAATAGGTATACGACTGATGTCCATTCCAATCTCTTTGAAGAGATTCTTTATCCACATGATTTGTCGACAAGTGTCGGACAGTGCCATATATTCGGCCTCAGTGGATGATAGCGCGGTGGTTTTCTGAGCATGTGATTGCCAAGAAATAATACCACCGGCTAATTGAGCAAAGTACCCAGTCGTGGATCGTGGACTAGACCAGTCCGAATCTGTGTACGCAAGCAATCCCTCTTGTTCATCCTCAAAGCAAAGGGAGTAATATGGAGTCCCTGCGAGGTAGCGCAAAATGTAAAATGCCTTTTCAAGGTGATCCTTGGATGGATTGGCACTTTGCTGGGATAACTTAATTACTGCATAGGAAATATCGGGGCGAGTTCCTAGCATAATGTACAACAGAGATCCGATGACCTGTTAGAACTTTGATCGAAGCGCGGGGTCCACAGTTCCCTTGTAGGGTTGCGGTTTGTATCCCATGGGAAGTGGAGTCCGGGCGGTCTTGCCGTTCGAGAGATTAAATCTCCTGAGAACTTTTTGCAAGTAGGCTTCTTGATCTATGTAGATCTTGGAGCCCTTCCTCAGAATTCGCATTCGAAGGAATTCTTTGGCTTCGCCGAGATCGCGACATTCCCATCGCTTCATAAACGCGGCTTTTAGTTTTAACACAAGCTGCCGGTTAGAGCCACAAAATAGTGCATCATCAACATAGACAATTGCAATTACAATCAAGCCTTTGTGATGGTAAATGAATACACCACTATCAGTGGATGCACGTTTGAATCCAAGCTCTTCCATTGACTTGGAGAGTTCTTTCCACCAGGAAAGAGCTGCTTGTTTGAGTCCATAGAGGGCACGCCATAGGCGGAGGACATAGTCTTCTTTGCCCGGGACTCTGAAGCCTTCCGGCTGTTCCATATATAGCTCCTCATCGAGTTTCCCATACAGAAAGGCAGTTTTTACGTCTAAGCCTTCTATATGCCATTTTTCAAGCACAGAGAGTGCAAGAAGCATGCGGAATGTCTCGTATCGAACAACTGGTGAGAAGATTTCATTGAAATCAATTCCCTCTCGTTGTGAGAAGCCTTTGGCAACAAGCCTAGCTTTCTTGCGGCCATCTGACTTAATGTCAAAGACCCATCGGCATTTGATAGCCTTTCGACCTTTAGGGAGTCGTGCCAGACTGAAAACCTGACGCTCACGGAGCGATTTGAGCTCTTCATGGCAAGCATCAATCCATGGTTTTCGTTGATCAGGCGGTAAACGCATGATGTCATGGTATGTCCATTCCCGGACGTTATCGGGTTTAGGATCTGAACTGTTTGTCATCAGGTTTGACGCAGATCCATCCTCTGTCTCAGAATCTTCAACCGCTTTAGAAAGCAGGAAATTCATCAGACTTACTCCCCCTTCCTGAGTAATGCGGATTAAGTTCGCATCAGAACCAGACATATCCCAGTCTTTATCGACATTAGGATCGGACGGAGGGTATTCCTCTTTAGGGATGCTACTGGTAGGTTCTTGGTTGCGAGGAGCTCGGGTTCTCCTGCGTGACGTACTAGTGGGCAACCGGGAGCTACCTGGTTCATTGTCCCCAACTTGTCGTCGCCAAGTCCTATCCCTATTGATGTCTCTTTGTATTTCCGATGGTAGACATGTGTCTCCCGGATCGTTATACACATTGTCTCGTTTGTTATGATTCCTCTTCAACCTGTGAGGATTGCGTCGTGGCAAATTTCTAAATTCCTCATTGTCCTCACGCCTCGGATTGAAGTTCATTCTTTCCGGGTCTATTGGAGGTCCCGCAGGTGAAGGGGAGCGATCTCGAGGTTGATCATCCTCTGGACCGTCTTGATTAGGGGAAGGAGAACGGGGGGGATCGTGACGAAGATGGTCATGATTGTTATCATCATCGTCATCGGGTTCCGTTGGAGGTGATCCTCCACCACCCGTTGGTCCATTACCATGGTCTGGTTGATCGTCATCATCACTATGATGGTCACCGTGTGTGTAATCTTTAGGCTTGTTAGCCGTAGGACACTTCGGTAATAGATCTTCATCCCAAATTGCTTTGGTACTATGAAAGATGCTATTATTGTGGATACGCATAAATTTGTATCCTTTGATGCCTTCCGTAAAGCCAATGAATATCATTAATTCGGCTTTCGGGTGTAATTTGTTATTTCTAACTGCATCAGGTAGGTATACATATGCGCCACATCCGAGAACTCGGAGATGAGTTACGTCAGGAGCTTTCTTATACAGAGTTTCAAATGGAGTTTTCCATTTTAATCTCCGTATAGGTGTGCGGTTATAGATATGTACCGCATACTCGACTGAGAATTCCCACCAGGAATTTGGTAAGCAAGCATGATGACGCATTGCTTCAGCCTTATCCATGATGGTGCGATTAAATCGCTCAGCACGCCCGTTTTGTTGTGGTGTGTGGGCGACTGATTGTCGAGTGAGAATTCCATTACTCGCGAGCAATTCATCAAATTCTTTAGATTTATAT